AATATTTTCCAAGTCCTGGAATAATTCTCGAAGTACTGTACTGTACTTGGAATGACTCAATCGAGAGACATCAGATAATCAGAGAAATGCAATTCGCACCGCAACCGCCAAGTCCTGTTTTCAAAGAGCGTTTTCGTGTAACTCCTGCTGGTTGTTATCGAAATCGGGGTGGTTGGCTGTTGCTCTCCAATTTTCCACGGTTTCTGACTGTTATTACTTGTATATTTTCCTCTATCCCCGGGTTGATTGTGCAATGGGATCCTGCTGTGGCTTCTGCGGGTGGAGCACCTGTGGGTTTCAAATCCACGTGTGGGTCTGCGAAACAATCGGCAATTTACTGGCCGGGATCGAGGGGGTGTTTTCCTTCATCTGGGGCGTGCTGTTGGAGCATTTTCATTTGTTATTCTCCTCTCGTTGTGTTTGTGTGTGTCTTTGTTTTTTTTACATATTTATATTTTCTTCCCTTGCTACTGAAAGTATTGAAGGACATTTACGACGTGTTTCCCGTTTGTGTTTTGCAGAATTGCCCGACGAAGGCGGAGGCCAGGAGGAGCGCCGCCAAGATTGCCTTGATGAACTCGGTTTTTAATGACCACCAGTCCAGAACCATCACGGACGATTTCATCGAAAGAGCAGTCGCCGAAGCCAGGGCCTCCTTCAAGGTTAGTGCCGCAATTTTATTCGAGATATGACTTTGCTTTTTTCTTTCTTACTTGCCTCACCCTTTTTTTAATGATATGAACGAATCATTAAAAATACCGTACTGCTGAATGATACGAAAGTAATACGACGAATTTCGAATGATTCGTCATTTGGGGAAATTCATCTCGGGTTTATTGTACTTCATCAAAGAAGGCTTGAAGGTCACTCCGACGGGAAATCAAATCCCGAATGTAAAAGTAGCAGCGCTTTTTTTTTTTTTACGAAAACTGTTATTTACTGTATCACACAATCGATTCTGATGAAATTCGTGGATGTGTCCGCTATTTTACTGCGGCGTTCTGTAATTTTTTTCTTGCGTTGATTGATCTCTGAGGTAATTCGGTGGAAGGAAAACTTTTTCGGAAATTATTTTTTTCACCGACGAAATGTGGAACTGGAACACGAATTACTTTTTGTCGCCAATGCAAATGTCTCTCTGTAAAAAAATGAAATGAGCATTTTGGCATGAATAAGTTTTTTTAAATACAATACTCTCCTTTGCATGCCGTAATTTTAAACCATGACTCCATGAGTATTGTTTCGTGTAGCTGGCTGAAGGTGTAGAATGTGCATTATTCAAGTGCGCAGCAGCATTGAACAACCATTTTTGAAACCAACACGTAGTAAATTTTCCAAGGGCAGTTTTCATTTTTGTGTTCCGCCCTTTATGATTGAAAATGTTCCTTATCTGAAAGGTTCGAAATTTTCTATCAACTGTTGAAAATTTGGATTGGGTTTTTTTCATGGATTAGAGATATACTGAAAAGTTGTCTCGAAGATGAACTTGCTGTGTATTTTGGATATGTAGTGGTGTTTCATTTTGAAAACTTTTTCTTATGAGGGAGAAGTGCACAATCAAAACAAGGCCATTGATCAAATAATGTGAACCTTTATACATTGGCCGACTCATTTCGGATTCATTGCGTTTTTCCTTCATGCATACGTACTTGATACAAAAAAATACAGATGGACTCTCTCAACAATGATTTTATCTGCATGACAAATTCATTTTTGGTCCCATGGGGTTCTCTCGCTATGTTATTGATGGGGTTCTCTACATCTACATATATATTATTTTATATTTCTGTCCCTTAAATTTCGTTGTAGAGAGAGAGAGTCCACCTGTGTCTTTAACTATCAATATAAAAAATGACGGCGAATTTTACTGCTGAACAAAGGAAAACACTGCCCAGCACGATTACGTCTTCTGGAAAATCTTTTTCCGCTTTAAAAATTAAGTTGACAGCCAAGTTTCACGAAGAAAAAAAATGTAAGTATCTTGAATGGTAGACGATGAATTTTCGTGCAGTCCATTGTCCGAAGCAGCTGGAACTATCCGAAGGAAGCATCGGCAGTAGTCAAATCTTCGCGGATGAAACCACATTTATCCGAAGTCTATATTTCGGGGTATTTGTGTAATCTTTGAATACATTTTCAATTTCCGTTTGCATATACTTTCAGTGTTTACAGAGCTGTCTTGGGTTAAACTAATGCAGTATCTTGTACAGATATTGTATAATTTTGCTTGCATTTTTAACTTCACGTCGAATGGTTTTTTTTTCTTCATATTTGGAATCATAAACTAATTTCTGCAGAAATTTTATACTTTATCGTGATTGGTGCAGTTGTCATGACATCATGATGGGGTTAACGAGGAATAAAGTTGGCTGTTCATTGCCTCTTCCGTTCGTTCATCTGCAGAACGTGTAAGCCCTTAAGCTTTGGGGAAGCGATGATGGATCGGATCCGGGGGGGTTGGATGGGCGAGGAATTTTGGCAGGCCCGGGGTCCGGCTCATTAGCACGCATTCCGATCATCAAGCCCGACTCGGGGGATAACGAGCCACGGGCGAAATTAATAAATCGGCCGTGTTCGCCCCGCCGTCAGCGCGATTTTAATTGAGTTCCCACACGTTTCTCTCGATCGACGACGACGACGACGACAAGAAGGAAACAGCCCCTGGGCTGACTGGCAAACTACTGCCTTCCCACGACACTCGGCTCTTTCCGTCTGTCGGCTTATTAGTCGTTGCGTCGCCCCCTGAAAAAAGTATTTTTTTTTTTTTTNCCAAGATTGCCTTGATGAACTCGGTTTTTAATGACCACCAGTCCAGAACCATCACGGACGATTTCATCGAAAGAGCAGTCGCCGAAGCCAGGGCCTCCTTCAAGGTTAGTGCCGCAATTTTATTCGAGATATGACTTTGCTTTTTTCTTTCTTACTTGCCTCACCCTTTTTTTAATGATATGAACGAATCATTAAAAATACCGTACTGCTGAATGATACGAAAGTAATACGACGAATTTCGAATGATTCGTCATTTGGGGAAATTCATCTCGGGTTTATTGTACTTCATCAAAGAAGGCTTGAAGGTCACTCCGACGGGAAATCAAATCCCGAGTGTAAAAGTAGCAGCGCTTTTTTTTTTTTTTTACGAAAACTGTTATTTACTGTATCACACAATCGATTCTGATGAAATTCGTGGATGTGTCCGATATTTTACTGCGGCGTTCTGTAATTTTTTTCTTGCGTTGATTGATCTCTGAGGTAATTCGGTGGAAGGAAAATTTTTCGGAAATGATATTTTTCACCGACGACGTGTGGAATTGGAACACGAATTACTTTTTGTCGCCGTTGCAAATGTCTTTATTTTTCTCCCTTGTAAAAAAATTAAATGAACATTTTGGCATGAATAAGTTTTTTTTTAAATACAATACTCTGGTCCTTTGCATGCCGTAATTTTAAACCATGACTCCATGAGTATTGTTTCGTGTAGCTGGCTAAAGGTGTAAAATGTGCTTCATTCAAGTGCGCAGCAGCATTGAAACAACCATTTTTGAAACCAACACGTAGCAAATTTTCCAAGGGCAGTTTTCATTTTTGTGTTCCGCCCTTTATGACTGAAAATGTTCTTATATGTAAGGTGCTAAATTTTCCATCAACTTGTTGAAAATTGGGATTAGGGTTTTTTCATGGATTAGAGATATACAATACTGAAAAGTTGTCTCGAAGATGAACATGCTGTGTATCTTGGATATGTAGCGGTGTTTCATTTTAAACACTTTCTTATGAGGGAGAAGTGCACAATAAAAAAAAAGTCCATTGATCAAATAATGTGAACTGTTATGAATTGGCCGACTCATTTCAGATTCATTGCGTTTTTTCTTTATGCATACGTACTTGATAAAAAAATACAGATGGACTCTCTCAACAATGATTTTATCTGCATGACAAATTCATTTTTGGTCTCATGGGGTTCTCTCGCTATGTTATTGATGGGGTTCTCTACATCTACATATATATTATTTTATATTTCTGTCCCTTGAATTTCGTTGTAGAGAGAGAGAGTCCACCTGTGTCTTTAACAATCAATATAAAAAATGACGGCGAACTTTACTGATGAACAAAGGAAAACGCTGCCCAGCACGATTACGTCTTCAGGAAAATCTTTTTCCGCTTTAAAAATTAAGTTGACAGCCAAATTTCACGAAGAAAAAAAACGTCAGTATCTTGAATGGTAGACGATGAATTTTCATGCAGTCCATTGTCCGAAGCAGTTGGAACTATCCGAAGGAAGCATCGAGTCATCAGTTTAGAAGCGCCTACTTTGGTGTAAATAGGCTTCAGATATAAAGCCCCATAAACACATTAGAAACTTATGTAAAAGTTAAAGGCAAACGTATATGAAAGTCACAAATGTCTCGACAGAAGGGTTAAACTAATGCAGTATCTTGTACAGATATTGTATAATTTTGCTTGCATTTTTAACTTCACGTCGAATGGTTTTTTTTTCTTCATATTTGGAATCATAAACTAATTTCTGCAGAAATTTTATACTTTATCGTGATTGGTGCAGTTGTCATGACATCATGATGGGGTTAACGAGGAATAAAGTTGGCTGTTCATTGCCTCTTCCGTTCGTTCATCTGCAGAACGTGTAAGCCCTTAAGCTTTGGGGAAGCGATGATGGATCGGATCCGGGGGGGTTGGATGGGCGAGGAATTTTGGCAGGCCCGGGGTCCGGCTCATTAGCACGCATTCCGATCATCAAGCCCGACTCGGGGGATAACGAGCCACGGGCGAAATTAATAAATCGGCCGTGTTCGCCCCGCCGTCAGCGCGATTTTAATTGAGTTCCCACACGTTTCTCTCGATCGACGACGACGACGACGACAAGAAGGAAACAGCCCCTGGGCTGACTGGCAAACTACTGCCTTCCCACGACACTCGGCTCTTTCCGTCTGTCGGCTTATTAGTCGTTGCGTCGCCCCCTGAAAAAAGTATTTTTTTTTTTTTTGTCTGCTTCGTCCCATAAGAGAGGACATCATTCTCCGGGTCCTCTTTCCCTGCGGGTATTCTTGTTGTGGGATTGCATTGTGTGTCCCATTCCTGAGAAGAAAAAAAAGTGGGTGAATTCAAAGTCCAGGATTGTATCACGAAAGAGCATTTTACAGCGCTTGAAACACACGAAGGGAGCAGCTAACGACAAGTACCTAATACAGTACAGTGTGATTACCCTAACCCGAATGTAAGCAAACTTAACCTTCCCGGGGGTAACATAATTTGAACTAAGCTAACCTTAAATTTTGATCAATCAAACTTGATGGGAAAACAATGCCAATTTAAAATAATCAAACCTAGAGTTTCTCGAGTTTTTGTTTTATGGGAGGACTTGCTTCATTCAATGCAGTAAGACCGATTACCAGATTGTTTTTCGCTTCGTTTTTGTTTTTGCTTACGGTTTTGGAGACGGTACGGTATTCTAATTCGAAAAATTTTATAAACTATTTTTCGATCCTTTTACATTTTTCAACTTCCTTTTGAGAACGTCAGGTGATTTAAATTTTTTGAAAACATCAAATTTTCCTCCTCTGAAAGGCCAATCTAAGACTCTGCTAAATTAACCAGATGCACGAAGTCCGTGTGGTCCGAGATTACAGTACTCCAGATTTAAAATACTTGAAACGGAAACCTAATTTAATTGTAGCCTAACTTCAGATATTCTGAAATAACTTGAACGAACCCACCAAACCCCAACTAAACTACTGTACAGTACAATTACATGAATCAAATATGAGCCCATGTTACTTAACTTGAACGAAGCTATTTTTACGCTGTTCTGTGTGCTCGCTGCTTTGTGCATTTCCCTCTTTTGAGTTTGTTCCTTCAAAATTTTCTCTTGTAATATGCATACGTTTGTCAGTACAGTGTTCAGCTCTTCCCCTTCGAATCTTGACCTGTTTTGCGTGACCCAATTTTATGAAGGATCGAGGATAAATCTCAAATCACGCAAAATGCTGTGGGTCGTTCAGTACGACCATGTAATTTTTCATGTTGAAGTTGTTTCATCAGCGTTCTTCAAACTCGAACACTTCAACCACAAGGAATTTGCAGATTTTGATGAATACAGTTGAACCTCTTTAAGTCAAATTTTTAGGGACCAGGAAAGAAATTCCACTCAAGGAGGCGTCAGCTTAGGGAGGTTTTGATTTTTGGAGGTTTCCAGTTAAGGAAACGAACATTTTTGTTGGGAGGAGAAGTAAAGAAAAAGCAGGATATAGTAAATGAGGATATTCTGGGCCTAAACTTGCTTCTTACTGAGTTTACACCTTGCTGTACTTGGAGGCAGGGGTTCATTTGCCTTATTAGTCTTTCACTCCCTTCCAATATGCATCAAATCATTTGTTTTATAGATCTTATTTTTCATATTTCAAGGAGATAATAACCGAAAGGCCTGAGAAAATTTGACTTTGGGTGGTTTCACTTATTGAGGTTCAACTGTAATTTAAATCTACGGTACCTGTACTCTGCTTGATATTCACAATGTTTTGAGTTTTTTTTTCAAATCATCTTCATTGCATCTCCAAAAAGCCTTGAGGAATTTTCTGTCATTTTTTGTGGACATCGCCCTCCAGTCATGAGCAACTGGTAAGTTTTAATTGCAACAATGAGGTGATTGAATTTAAATTTCAACTTGATGACCAATATTTTCCTGAGACTGAATTACGTTCTTTGTGGGCTTTTGATGAACAATTTCGAGAGAAGAATTTGAAAAGATTCCTCGAGGAGCCACGAAACCTTACAGAAAGGGATCGTGAAAGACGTTCGCTTAATTTGTTTCAAGTTCAAAGGCAATGCTAACGCGGAGTGCGCAGGCGCGCACTTGGCGTTTATTTTTATACTTATTTTTTCTCTCAGTTATTGTCTTATTGATCGATGATGTTAAGGACCCGGCCAAATTATCTGAGAGTGACTCGCGGAACGAGCGGCGAGGATTGTCGGAGAGTGACAGACCGGTTTCCGGCGTGTTGAGCATCTTCCCTCTAGGGCGTCATGAGCTTCGTTTTTTATTTATTTATTTATTTACAGTTGAACCTCTCCAGAAATTTCAAGGGACCAGCATAAAATTCTACTTAGGGAGGTTTGGAGTTTTATAGAATTATAGATGCTTTACTTACAGAATCAATCATTTTTTATTGTTCGAAACATTGAAGAATTGCACTAAAGTGTACATTGTGATATTCTGGGCTTCAATTTGCTTCTAAAATGAGTTGATTGGGCACTCAGCTTGGAGAAAGTGGTTTATTTGCCAAATTAGTCTGTCACATTCTGTCAAAGCACATCAAATTCAATTTTTTACTGTTTTTTTTCTTGTTCCAATAAAATAATAACCTAAATGCCTCAAAAATTCCACTTTTGGAGGTTTTAGAGGCACATTTTTTTAGTTAGGTAGATTTCTTAATGCATTATTTCCAAGGGAATTCAGAAAGGGACTAAAACAAATGTTGACTTAGGGAGGTTTGATGTTGCAAGGTTCAACTGTATCATGTTTTTTATTTATTTCCTGTTGCCCCCAGGCAACCAAACATGGGGCTGGACCAAGCTGCAACAGAATGAGGAAAGTGGCACTGTTTTGACAACCCAGTATTCTCAGATGAGAAGCTTTGAAATTTCAGTACAGGTGGTACCTTGCAATTTGACCTCTGCCCCACAATTCAACCCACAGAGAGGCACAATAATTTCAAATACAATTGGGGAAAATATTGCATTTGATGTTGCTTTTCAATTTGACTGCTTCACATTTGACCCTAGTCCAGCAATTGATCAGTGTTGAATTCTGGGGCACATACTACCTGTACAGTAAGGTAACCTGCAGGGACATATGTTTCTACAAAGATGAAACCTAGTCATTGGACTACCAATACAGTACCTGTACAGTGATAGGTAGTGTGTAGTACAAACACCTCACAGTACAAACCTTCTGTGAATCAAACATTTGTACAGCACTGTACTGTACTGCAATTTTTCTCAAAGGTTATGCTCAAAGCAAAAAATTCTTTGAAAATGGGTTTTGCTATGACCATAACGCCCTTAGGCGCAATGTTTTGAGCCTGAAATCCACACACTTTCAAGAATAAAAACTGATGCCTAAATCCATTGAACAATTTTTAATATAAAGTGAGACACACACATGCAGACACTTCAACCTGCAGACAATTCAATGTAGGGACACTTATTTTCCCAGATAAAATTAATAAAAAATGCCCAACATGAGGACACTGACTCAACATGGGGACATTTTGTGGTAAAATTGAAAATACTTTTCAGGCCAAATTACAAGAAACAGATATTTTCAACCCTGAAATTGATGTAAGAAAAGTTCTTGGGCATTTTTCTCACCAATTTACGATCCATTTAGCTAATTTTAAAAAATTACCTCCACCATAGAGGGACTTCTACTTTTTTTCACTTGAATGTTATTTTTGTAGATGCTATTTCAATGTACAGTACAGAGATACACTATTCAATGCTTGAAATGTTCTTATTGAGTTGAAAATGTATTGACTAATTCAAATTCAAGTGGCAAACAATTTTTTTTCCGGGAATTCTTAAGAATATTTTTCCCATAAAGCACCAATTAAAAATTATATGATGTAAGTCTATGGGATAACAAGACTCAACTTAGGGACATTTCAACTTAGAGACACTCTTGATGCACCAATTATGTCCGCATCCAGGGGTCTCACTGTTATGGCTATTCTGACTCGCGTTGCGCAGAATTACGCCTCGGGAAATGCATAACTTTTCAGGAGGCCCTCACATACGCACCGTCACGAACCATTTGGAGAGATACTGCACTCCGTTATTTATTTTAAAGGTTGTTTGATATCTGCATTTTATGGAGAGATAGAACGTTTCTGATGTGCTTGTAGAAAGTCACTGTTTGGAAGAATTCTGAGGATAATTAAAGTCACCGAAAAACATTAATCCTCTATTTTAATGTATTGCCCTGCACTTCAGGAGTCCACGTCACCTCCAGCTCTCGGCTGACATTGCGTGAAAATTCCACGATGAATATCTTGGGGGAGGAAAAAGGCAATGAGTTGTGCGTGCATAATTTGATTTTTTCTTTTTCAAAGCAATCCCCATGAACTTTGACCTTTCGTTGCATAATCGTGAAACCAAAATGTGCATGCCTGAGATGGCGCCTCTGATTTATGGACTGTGATCCCGAACTGCGAGTTCAGTGGGTCTGACACGAATGTCTGTTCATCTAATCGTCTGACGAGAATACCACCATGTGTCAAAGCTCTCACGCAGTCTGCAAAATATTGTACTGAAATTACCTTGCTCAACGTGCTCTCCTAGACCAAATATTCGGAGTCTTGAAATGTGCACATGTATGCATGTTACGAACCAACCTTATACAGTGATCACTTTTTCGATCGCTTTTAACGATGGATTTGATTTATTCATGTACAAGCTTTATTTGCCGCTTGTTTGCCAAATGTTCCAAGTTTTTGCTAAAACAAAAATATGACATTGTTTTTAGTGCCACGTTCCGTTAGTGCGTGTTTAAACTCGTGCTTCACAAGTAGGACACAGACACGCCTATTAAAAATAAAATAATTACCATGTAGAAAGAATCTTTGATGAGGAATCAAATAAACTAGCCCTTTTTCTGGTAGTCTAAGTCTAAGACTAGGGAGAGTAATTTTTGACAAAGTTATGAAAATCATGTCTTTTTATGTTCAATACTGATGATGTGGAATAATATAAGATGTTCTGGCGATGCAGTAACCAATGCTGTATATTTACACTGCAGTAATTACACCACTTGTAATCTTTATAATTTAATTAATAGATTAATTTTAGTGGCTGTCAATGTGTCATCTCTACATCGATGACGAACAACCCGAACAAAGCAAACCTGACCGACTGACAGCTGAAATGGGGAAAGTATAGATTTATCTTCCTTCGATAGGTGTCGCTCTCCAATAGGAAATTCGGTGTGCTCATGGTTTTGTTCGTTATTGCCTTACTAAATATTTGGCACCCGCCAACCGCGCTCATTGGTGAACATTCGCCCTTCCGAGACCCGCTCTTTTGATACGTGAATATCGTCTTCTCTACTTGAGAAAAATTTGAGTGCAGGCTTGCACTGCAAAAGTGGCCCGGCCCTGTGGTTCAGGTTCCTTCGTCCCATGATGGGTATCATCGGCGGGAAGTGGACCATGACCGTGCGGGGGCAACCCTGCGGTATATTTACAGTATATAAATCCCGCTCGTTGACACTTGTAGCTCGTGTTCCGCGTTTAGGCCTCGGGGGGGCAGGTGAAGCTATTGCAGGATGGGTCCCATACAATGCATAGCTCTCACTGGTTATGGCTAATTCCTGCCCTGCATCAGGGTTTTTCAAACAAACAAATTTTTACTTTGGGGATGTATTCAATTTTTTGAAATGTGCCAAAATGTTCATGTCGAACACTAAATAACCCGGTTTTTTGGGCTGCGACCCGGGTTTGCAACGTACATTAAACAATCCACAAAATAGTAATTCACGGGATCGGTGGATGATCAAAATTGTTCGAGTGCCAAAATGTTCATGTCGAACACTAAATAACCCGGTTTTTTGGGCTGCGACCCGGGTTTGCAACGTACATTAAACAATCCACAAAATAGTAATTCACGGGATCGGTGGATGATCAAAATTGTTCGTCGGATTCTCGCAGGATACGTCCTATATTAAATAATGTAAAAAATCCCTCGCCGTGACTTTCATACGATCAGCTTAATTAAACAACCTTGGGGGTTGATTGCACAGTAATTTATTTGCAAAAAAAAAAGTTAATGCTTTTCATGGTTGGTCGAACCTCGTCAAGTCGGGGACCATCAAAAAATTTAAGTTCGGGAGGTTACGAGGAAAAAGGAATCGCGCATTTTGGGGGGGAAAGGAACGAAGAATTACAAGAAATCGCAATTTGTGATATTCTGAGCCCTAAATTGCATCCTGACGAAAGAGTTGACATGATGCTGAAGTTGGAGGCAAGGTTTTATTTGTCCAATTAGTTTTTTTTCATTTATTTTAAAAGGCATCAAGCTACATTTTTAATGCTTCCCAGGCTCAACTTTAAGTTTGTTCAATTCCATGCCGTGTGGTTCTAAAAAAGATTATTGTGTGGATTTTTCACGAGTTTTTTCTTCTTCTTCTTTGTGTGTGTTGGTGAAGCAGATGATTAATGTGGTTTTTGTTGTCTCAATTTCCGTAGGGCGAGATGGAAGAGGCAGATAATCCGAACACTGGGATCGGGGCTTTCCGCTTTATGTTGGAGCAGAACAAGGGCAGGACCATGTTGGAGTTTCAGGAGCTGATGACCGTCTTTCAGCTGCTGCACTGGAATGGCAGTTTGCGAGCAATGCGTGAACGCCAATGCTCCAGGTACATTACATTATTTTATTTTAATTTTTCTACATTTTTGAAGGCAAGTATGGAGATAATTTAAAACAAAGATCCCTCAATTTTCTCAGGAGATTCCGTACATTTTCGATCCAAGTTGTTGACAACAAAAATCAATTTGTGGAAACGTTTTTGTCAACTGGTGTAAAAAAAAAATTTCTTTTCTTAAATGGACACTCAGTTCTGGTACGTCCGGTGAACCTTCATAACTGGGACCTCCCCAAGTCAAACTTTTTTCAAATCCATTGTCCATTTCCAAATTCCCTCAGAAAAAAATCCACTAAAAACATCCCTAACTCGAAGGCTTTCCCCTTTAAACCTCTATACTGTACTCCGAATTTTGTGGAGGATTTTTTTTTTTGGCTTTCCTTCATTGACAAAGGTATAATGCGTACCTACATTTTAAAAACTTCTTGAAAAATTCACAGTGGACCCTTGGTTAAAAAATCCATAGTTGGTTCCAGACAAAAGTTTGTTTACTGAATTTGATTTTCCTGTAGACTTCAACAGGAAATAATTTAATCTATTCCATGAACCCACAAGACAATTGCATATGAAAAATGCATGGCCGTCAACTATAATTAGAATAAGTTGTTGCTGCATCTTATATGTGCTCAAAATGTGTTCACGGTGTTAAATGAAAGTAGAACTAATGAAAACAAAGATCAAAAAGATTCAATTCCAGAGAAACACCGCACATGTCAGAGGAAATTAAATTTATTTTTTTAATGCTGAAAGTTGAGATCAAAGACCTCTCTAACAATTGAGCAACTAGAAGGAACAAGCACAAAAAAAGCAAAAATTCTGTCACAGAAAAGCATATGAATATTTTAGCTGTAACAAAATCTAAAAGAAAAGATTAAACATATTAAAGTGCCAGAGGGGAGGAATTTTCATATCAGTGCATATAGGTAAATTATTTGAATTTAGATTGTACCACAAATGTCTGCCCTAAAATCATATTTTGAATTTTCCATTTTCCCCTAGAAATTGTTTTTAAACCGAATTTTTGTTTTTGTTTTTTCTAACCGAGTGGCTTGTTAACCGAGGGTCCACTGTTTCCTGCTTATGACGCGCACCCCTTCCTTGTTTCTCTCTCAAATTTGAGAGAAAAGAACGTGTGCGTGGTTCTTGAGTAAATGTGGTTATTGTTGATATGAACATCAGTCGTATATACAGTGAAATTCCGTTACAACGAATCTAGTTTTACCGAATTTTTCCTTGGGTCCTGGCAGTTTTCCAATAGGCGCCATTTCATAAAAATCTCATTTTAACCAATTCATTTTTAGGCTGTAATCTCAGTAAATTACAACGAATTTGTGGCCCTGATTTCATGCATAGGCCGCAGGGATTATTTAATGAATGGCTGAAATTGGAAAACTTGAAATGGAGCATGATTCCATCTTCTTCCAAGAATAAAAAAAAAACTTTTTGCAGAGAAACGTTGGTGTTGAAAAAAAAACACAAAATAACATATTTCTTGGGAATCCAATCTAAATTTGGTAATAACCATGAATCTCAGTACAACGAATTTTTTGTTGCAACAAAGTTGTAATTAGGTCCCTGGGAGTTCGTTGTAACGAAATTTTACTGTATATTTATATTTAGTCGATTCAAATTTCCGTCGATTTTTTTTTTTTTTTGAGGCAATGACTGATGAAGGAACTTGTTCTTTGTGGGGCATTTGCAGGCAAGAAGTGCTGGCGCACTACTCCAACCGCGCCCTGAACGACGAGATGCGCGGCCACATGGCCGCCGACTGGGAGCTGCGGGAGCAAGAACACCCCGGGATCATTGCGCGGGAACTGCGCGAAGCCGAGCATCACCTGGAGGAGGCCCGCCTGGCTGGCCGCGAACTCCGCTACCCCAAGGAAAAGCGGGACATCCTGCTCCAGGCGCTCAACAGAGTGAGCCGCAACAACGCCACGCGTCTGGGACGCCACCAGTGATTCCCCTCCATTCCAATGCTCCACACTGCAAGCATGCATGCGTGCTGCTGCTGCTGCCGCCGCCACCGTCGCCGGCAAATCGAGGGTGGGGGTTTTTTTTTTTCGTTGAAGATCCCTGCCGCCCTTCTCAGCGTCCGTCCACGCACTCTGCTCGTTGCATTCCGTCCGTCCGTCCGTCGCGTTCCGTCCGTCCGTCGCTAGCTGATGATGATACTCATGAGCGTTTGTAGTTCCCTCAACACTCTTGAACTCTTGTTATGTTTGGTGGGCGAGTTGAACGGCGCTTATTTGTGTGTAATGCCGGTATTTTTTTTTCACGATATTTTTCCGCATTTCAGCTGAAATTCTTTGTAAGATTCCCACGTTCGTCTTCTGAAGAGATAAGAATTTCAGGGGGTTCATTAGTGTAATCTTATGATAATCTCGGATAGATGTCGCCTTTTGAAGCTCAGTTGCCCGCCATGACCATGATGATGGGGTTTAAAGCAGTGCTGCCCAACATCTGACCCTCCGGCCTGCAGAGACTCTTCATTGATCCCTCTGTGCCTTCCCGTTAATTTTCAAGGTGGCAGCCACCACTATTCAAAATATATCTTGAAAGATTGATTGAAAAACTCGGAATTTCGTTCCAGCACCCTTCAAAAATGCGACAAAGCTATGCTTGTGATTCAAGTGCGTAGTGCTAAATTAAAAGTGAAACCGTGTATTTAAAAGGGAAAAATGTGGAGCCTCAAAAAGTATTTTTCTGTGGGACCCACGAGGACTCCCCATTTCCGGAATGTGGCCCCTAAAAATGAATTAATGTGGCTCTTGGGCTCTAAAAATGTATTAATGTGGACCATATAACCATGTATGATTTTGGCAGCACTAGCTTTCTCGAAGACCTTAAATCAATTCAGGGTTTGGGTTTTGCTTCGGTATATAAGTATTGGGATCATGGTGTGCTGTTCCATTATCTTTAACTTGGAATAATTGCTGTGGGGATGATTTAAAGACTGAGGTTTTTAGCGAAGATTTTGCAAAAGCGTCGTTCTTCTCGCATTCTATATTTGTGGTGTAGTGGAGAGAGTGTTGTGGGATTTTGCAGCGTTTTGATGCATCACTCGTAAAGAGGCCGGGGCTTGTTGCCGTGAGGCAGGAATGACTTATTTTTTGTTCTTTCTGATTGCTCGTTTTTTACAGTTGTAAATGTTGATGAGCTGAGCGTCCGAATGTTCCAAATCAAAAACGAAGCGAATGATCTTGAAGCTTGTAGCTCGCGGGAAAATTGTAAAGCGCGCAAGTAGCATTAGTCCATTTGATTTGCTGACATTTGCAACCATGTGCCTTTTTTTTTAAATCGGTTTTGTCCCAATCGACGTTTTTTTTCTCTTTTATTTTATTTTTCCCTCGATCCTGAGAAAACCTGTTGTAAAGGATGACTTGTGTTATTTTGGAGATATTTTTTTTTTCCTTGGTTGAACTCTGAGCCTTTTTTCCCCGCCTTCGGCTAAAGTAACACGACTTGTTACCCCGGTGAGGATAAAAATGTTTCTCCTCGCTTCGTGCCTGCGGACGATTTTCTTTTGCGAATAAGTTCGTATCGACTCGAAATGGAGGCTTCGTTGGAGGAACAGGTTTTTTGTTTTTGTTTTTCGGATTGCCATAGAGAGTTGGAAAGATGGATGTGGCCACGGGAGAGGGATCTCATGAATGATGTGATTGATGTTGGAAGTGCGTCTCCAGTCTGTGCGGTGGAGCCACCTGCTGATGGAACTCGGACTGTCTTTAATCCGCCTTGCGACCCTTTCAGTGCACATCCTTTCCCGAGAGGCTGCTTTCTGTTTGTTCTAGGAATTGTATGCATCGATTTTGGTATTGATTAAAAAGTCTACGATATAATTCCCTCTCGTCGTCGTGATCTCTTCATTGTGTGTTTAGTGCAGACCACAACAGCCTCGGGATCGATTGGTGCGCTGTAGAGTGGACCCCGAGATGCGGACGTTGTTGATCTTGTCCTTATGTTGTATGTCGTTTCCACTTTGACTTTAATGGGAACATGCAGGGGTTGTCCCACATGGGCGTGACCTTGATTATTCCTATATCAGTGGGTATCACTGCAAGAAAAATTATGGTATCGTGGTAATGTTTTAAGGTTCTAGGATTTTTTCGGATTTCTGAAGTTTTAACTCAATTTTCTGGACGATGATAAGTAGCAACTTCAAAGATATGGCCAGAGTTCTCCGCCCGCCATGTCGCTGCAGGGTGTTAAAAATTTATTTCAGGCCAGCTAAAATATTGAAAACGTTTTGTTGTTTTAACCATTATCTTTCCAACATTTTTGATAATGTTTAGTACCAAATTTCAATTTTCAGCCGGCCTGGCACATTTTTAGCATCCTTTGACACAGGTGGGGAAATCTGGCCAATAACTGGAAAGTTTTCACTTATGTATCCCTAACAGTTCATGCATTAAATTGAAAAATTCCTTTAAAAGTACAAATAAATCTCAGAACCTGAAAACATCATGGACTTATCATAATTTTTTACACTCTGACCTACTCTAGGAATAACTAAGGTTGTGCCCAAGTGCAGCAACCCTTGTATTTAATTTATAGGGTTCTCCAGTTCATCAAAATTAGGAAAATAAAGTCCCAAAATTTGAATAAACTTTGTTTCTCTACTTCAGCATACAGAAAAAAAACTGAAGAAAATTTCACAGAATGTGATCTTTTGGTATTGGAAGGAGCACATTATATAAGAAGCAAAGAACAAGTTGAGATATACTCCGCACGCATGTGGTGAACAAAAAATGTGAAAAACGAATCACAAAAGTAGCCTATTTTTGATTTCGAATCAAAAATTTTATAATGAAATTTATTTCTAATCGTTGTGAATAAGTAACTCGATTTTTTCATGTGACATGAATCTTATTCAGAAAGTAAAACTTTAAATTTTTCTAGTGATGTTGAAAAAGCGTCCCTATCTCAAGAAATTGTCTGGATGGACATCCGGACACTTGAAACACTCGCAAAAAAATCTACTCAGACCTGGGTAGATTCTTTGTGTGTGTTTCAAGTGTCCCTAAGTTGGATCTTGGATCATCTGTATTTTGGGGGCCCACTTTAAATGATTTTGTCATTATTTCTGCATTGCTTTTTGCACCCAATCTGGATGACTGGTGTAATTAAATTGAATTGAACAGCAAGCTTTATTTTCCCGTTTTCAGCATTCACAAGGTTCAAACAATGTTCCCACATCCAAACCCCCTCCCCTCCCCACCAACATTCATCCAAACACATTCTGCACATATCAGAATAGAAAATAGAGAAACAAGCTTTGCATGGATATTAAAAGAAAAGAAGATACATCCCAAGAAGTTCAACAGTACAAGTGATATATATATACGTGCACTTTCTTCCCTTCCCTGATCACAAAAACAAAATATCAATAATAAGAATTGCAGCATAAAGCAATTACTGGTGTAATTCTGATTGTCAAAATTTCTTCATTATTTATTGCGCTGTCTGGATCGGTATCGTTATTTTTGTGTTGATTTCTTAATTGCAATGTGTGTTCAGTATGGAGACATCCACCGGATTCTAACTACAGCTGATTTCCATGATGAGATGGCGATTTTTCTTGTAGGTTTTCAGGATTTCTTTCTCCTTCGTGTGACATTCATCTTACCTTCCATTGTCCAGTTTGTCCTGTCTGTACCCTCTGGACGCTTCGGAATTTTGATTACATTTCGATATATAGTTTTTTTTCTGTTCAACAATGCGATATGAAAAAGCGTTTCGAATTATTTTTCATTTCTATTGATGGCCTGCTGAAAATTGGATGGGAATTTTGGTGGTTCGTAACATTTGCTGCTCTCGAAAATGCGGTCAGGATTTACCGGTTTAGTCAACAGCGTATTCTGGAAGTTTGTTGAAGCGTGCTGCAATAAAAAGTTTTTATCCATAGCATATTTTATAGGACCATCTATGAGAACAAATTTGTTCTGAAAATGCGCACAACACGATTCTCTCGAGATATAGATGCATTAATACCTGGCAAGCGTATGACGGTTAAATTGAAAAAAAAAAAAACTTCGCTCAAATTGAAAATTCCAGTTATTTCGTTAATTTGTAAATTTCAAAATTACAACATGGCCTTCCTCTTTTCAATAATTTTATGCTGGGCATGCCCTGACTATTATAGGGCTCAAACATTTTCACTCAAAATTCCTTATTCCATCAAGTCTCTTGCTCTAATACGATAGAATTCAGAGGATTTGAAAAAATGAAGTTTGCTGTGGACAAAATCGTTGTAACGAGCCTACATCATGATGTTTCTTCCTTTTTTTGAAACTGCGGCCCTCAACTCTCTTTTCATTAAAAGTATTTAGGGGATAGGCGTCCTTTAATTGGGAATACTGTATTTTGGCATCTGAGGAAATTTAGAAATATTCAGGCATCTATACTAGCACCACCACCTGCTGGATTACAGAGTATATATAAACCTGTAAACTTACAGTTAGGTAGTGCTGGTATAGTGACTGAAAAGAAGATCGTATGAGATGTCACCAATTATTTCGACATAACTGTACTGTACTGTATATTATTAAATAAATGGGCAGTACACGCCGTGGGCCTCGCCGCATTCAAAAGAACTACAACTTTGACGGCTAGAGGACGCCAGCGGTGAAGCGTGTCCGCGTCCGGTGAGATTCGGTATGAAGTACAAGTATTTCCTCGACTCCTGTGAAAGGAGGCTTACGAGTGCGTGACGGTGCGCGCGGAGCGTGAATCAACGGCTGAGTGATTTAGAAACTTATGAACTTGCCGTGGCTATCTTTTGTTATTAACGTTTGTGATGTTTCAAATTTGTTTCAGGTTTTTCCCGATCCATTATGTCGAAGAAGAGGATTGACATTGGAGACAACCTGAAGTCGAAGCGAAAGAAGTTCGAAGACGATGGTGACTACGGAGATGGGGATGGTTCGACGAAGGTGGGAAAGGTCTCAGCAAATGAACAAACAGCCGCGGCGAACACTACTGTCTCACCATCGCTGAATAAATACACGGGAAGGCCAAATTCGAAACGGTATTATGAGTTGTTCAGAAAGCGCGTATCGTTGCCCGTTTGGGAGTATCGAGATCGGTTCATGGACCTTCTACACAAAAATCAAGTGCTAGTGCTCGTCGGTGAAACTGGATCCGGTAAAACTACGCAGATTCCGCAGTGGTGTGTTGAATATGTGACGAGCATGGCGAAAGGTCAAAAGCGAGCCGTGGCTTGTACTCAGCCGCGTCGTGTTGCAGCTATGTCCGTTGCCCAAAGAGTGTCGGAGGAAATGGATGTGAGTTTAGGTCAAGAAGTTGGTTACTCGATTCGGTTCGAAGACTGCTCATCTCCGAGAACCTTGTTGAAGTACATGACTGACGGTATGTTGCTCCGTGAGGCGATGAGTGAGCCCTTGTTGGAACAGTACGGAGTGGTGCTGTTGGACGAAGCGCACGAAAGGACCTTAGCGACTGATATTCTCATGGGCGTGCTGAAGGAAATCAAGACGCAAAGATCGGATCTGAAGATCGTGGTGATGAGTGCTACGTTGGATGCCGGGAAATTTCAAACGTATTTCGACGATTGTCCGCTCATGAGCGTTCCTGGTCGCACGCATCCTGTTGAAATATTTTACACCCCTGAAGCTGAGCGTGACTACATGGAAGCTGCGATTCGTACCGTGATTCAAATCCATGTTTGCGAAGAAGTGCAAGGCGACATCTTGTTGTTCCTAACTGGTCAGGAAGAGATTGAAGAAGCTTGTAAGCGTATCAAGAAAGAAGTGGACAATCTCGGCCCGGAAACGGGTGAAATCAAATGCATTCCCCTGTATTCAACCTTGCCCCCAAATTTGCAGCAGAGAATATTTGAAGCTGCCCCGCCGAATAAGCCGAATGGAGCAATCGGTCGTAAAGTAGTGGTGTCAACAAACATCGCGGAAACTTCATTGACTATAGACGGCGTTGTGTTTGTCATAGACCCCGGTTTTGCGAAGCAGAAAGTTTACAATCCGCGCATTCGTGTAGAATCTTTGCTTGTTTCACCCATTAGCAAAGCATCTGCACAACAGCGAGCGGGTCGAGCTGGACGAACGCGGCCTGGGAAGTGTTTTCGACTGTATACTGAAGATGCGTATAAGTCACAAATGCAAGATCAAACCTATCCGGAAATTCTGCGGTCGAATTTGGGCTCTGTCGTCTTGCAGCTGAAAAAGCTCGGTATTGACGATCTGGTGCACTTCGATTTCATGGATCCGCCGGCCCCGGAGACGTTAATGCGGGCCTTAGAACTCTTGAATTATGTTGGAGCTTTGAACGACGACGGAAACTTGACACCGCTTGGTGCCATCATGGCGGAATTTCCTCTCGATCCTCAGTTAGCGAAGATGTTGGTAGCGTCAACAGAATACAACTGCTCGAACGAAATCCTTTCTATTACTGCGATGCTTTCGGTTCCTCAGTGCTTTATCCGACCCGCGGAAACAAAAAAGGCTGCTGACGAGGCGAAAATGAGATTCGCGCATATTGACGGCGATCATTTGACTCTATTGAACGTCTATCACGCTTTCAAACAGAATGGAGAGTCACCGCAATGGTGCTACGAGAATTACGTGAACTATCGTTCATTGAGTTCCGCAGACAACGTGCGATCGCAACTTTCTCGAATCATGGACAGATTTGATTTGAAGCGTACGTCTACTGAATTCAACTCGCGCGACTACTACCTCAACATCCGCAAAGCCTTGGTTGCTGGCTTCTTCATGCAAGTTGGTCACTTCGAGCGAACGGGGCATTATTTGACCATCAAGGATCGGCAGGTTGTGCAGCTTCATCCGTCAACTTGTTTAGATCACAAGCCCGAGTGGGTTATCTACAATGAGTTTGTGTTGACGACAAAAAACTACATTCGAACGTGCACAGACATTAAACCTGAGTGGCTTTTGAAAATAGCACCCGTTTATTACGATTTAGACTCGTTCCCTGCCGGAGAAGCTAAGCGACAGTTGGAACAGGTCAAAGCGCGGATGGAATCGAGAGCCTACCAGAACTTCTAGGAATTTCATTTTATTTGCTGATTTTCTTTCCGAATTTTTTTACATTAAATTTCTTGGAAGCTCCCGATTATCTTCTATCGGATCGCGTTCATTTCTCCAAGCATTCGCTGTTGTTCCTGAGTTCATTTTGGAATGTTGAAGAACTGTAATTCTGTTACGTTCGACTGGCATGTGTTTGTGGTTCGCCTAGCTGGAAGTGACCGAATGTCTCGGCGTTTGTTCTGCGAAAAATGAAGATGATTTTGAAAGTTGAGCTGGCTTACGCTTGTGGAATCTCTATGCATCCTACGATTCCCAGTGGCTAAATGGGGTGTGTTCTTATTAATGACACTTGGCAACCATATGTATGCAAGAGTTTTTCACGTTGTTCATGACGAATATGCAGTCAATCACAAAGGGACTAAAATCACAGCGTAGAGGTAATTCGTGCTGAAACCCTGCAGTATCAGTTACTTTACGAATTCATTATTAATCGTCTTATAGGAAGTATTCCAGAAGTTTGAAAGATTTGTTTCAATGATTCAATCCACTATCAGAATGATTGTTTACTTGAAGAGAGAAAAAACTTGACGAAACGTCTCAAATGGCATGATGTAATTTTATCGCATGAATGAATCAATCAGTGGGGATTTTTTTCTGAGTTATTTCCCCTGTCGCCGTTGCACCTTATGAGCTGTTGGGATAGCAGGAATGAATCGTTTGTTTTGCTATGATCGGTAATCTGAAGCTTACCCGATTTTTTCTATCTTTTCGCAGCTTTGTGATCCCGTGGCAAACTTTTTGTTGTGCGGGGGTGTTTCTTTGCGGTCGCGATGGTTGCCACGAGTGACCCCATAGTTCCGATGGACATCGAAGGTCCGAAGGCATATTTGGAAGACCTTTATTGCCATGATCAGAGCCGTTGTTTGTGTGCTCTGAAGCAGCTGAAGAACACTATAATTGGCAGCAATCGTGAAAAGCGTGCCGTCATTCAGCACGGAATTCTCTCACGTCTCCTAAACATTTTGTCGAATGGTTCTATGGGAGCCGATCTGCACAAAGAAGCAATTGTTGTACTCACTTCCCTTGCGAAAGGAACGCCAATGAACGCAGAAGCTCTCGTTCGAGAAGGTGCAATCTCCATTCTCCTGGACAAGTCTCAAAAGGCAACCGAAGACGTAGTTGAAGCCTCGCTGAAGTGCTTGCGAACCATTGCCATGTCAGAGCCTGACTCGCTGGGCATCATTTTTACGAATCACTCCATCGTTGATCATCTGGTGAACTTGATACCCAAATCTCATGTGACGCAAGAAACAGTTCCCGCAATCTTGGCGGTAGCATGCACTTCTTCCGAAGATCAGTCCATTCTTGTGAAGCGGGGACTGGTGGAGAAGCTAGCTTCCTTGCTTGGTGCCGATGTATTTGCTGCTGTTCAACTATCCGCGTTAGAGTGCTTAAATCGCGTGTGTAGTGAACATTACGAAGCTTCCCTACGAGCAGTTTCAACAGCAGGGGTTATTTCCAGTCTCGGAGCCTTGTTATCTCGAATAAATCCACAAGCGACGCAGCTCGGAGCTGCGAAGTGCGTCTCGGCGTGGCACAATGTCGGCGTGTTGCAAAACGAGCTTCTGGTCCGTAAAGCCGTGGCATTATTGATCTACCTATGCAAGGAAACGCAGACACCGGACATCCGAGTCGGAGCCGCGAAGACGTTAGCACATTTAATCGAGGAAGATCCAGAGCTTCAATACATGGCTGCAATTTCGGAGCGTTTGATTGACGAGCTCGCTGTCTATTTGTCCAAGGGTGATGATGCTATGCAAGAATCTGCACTGTTGCTGTACGCTGCCCTTGGAGCGAGTAATGAAGAAGTAAGAAAGCGGATCATCGAGGCTCATGTAGTCGGGCATGTCGCTACTGTATTACAAAGCAGCTCTGTGTCGAACGACTTGGTGAACGCGTCAAAGATAGGTGTTAAAGTTGCGGCGTTGTCGTGTTTAGTTTCGCTTTCTCGTTCTGTGCATCAGTTGAGGACGTTGTTCCAGGACTTGAATTTCTCTCGCATCATGAAATCTTTCCTTACGGCGTCCCCACCGCCGCCGCGGGAAATACTCGTAGCTGTTTCAGCGCTGCTAGGAAATCTACTACTTCAGTTTTCACCTTGCAAGGAGGCAATAATTGAAGAAGGCGCCATTGAGATGCTTTGCATTGCCACGAAGGAAAAGAATGACCCTTCGCTGCGTTTAAACGGGATTTGGGCACTCATGAATGTGGCTTTCCAAGCGGACCAAAGCACTAAGGCGCAGATACTGTCGTCGCTGGGCACGGATCAGATCTTCGCTCTTCTTTCCGACCCTGATGAACGAATTCTCATCAAGACGTTGGGGTTGCTTCGGAACGTTCTTGCTACCCGTCCACACATTGATTTTTTCATGGGATTGTACGGTAGACAGATTGTTCAAGCGATCGTGTTGGTATCGGAAGGTGATCATTCTGCGAGTGTGAAGGAACAAGCATTATGTATTCTCGCCAACATTGCCGAAGGGGATTCAGCGAAAGACTACATTATGCTTAATGAAGATGTTTTGAAGAAGCTGATGGCTTATCTTCGACACTACAACGTGGATCTGGTGAAAGCAGCTGTTAGCTGTGTCTTCAATTTGGTTTACACTTCGTGTCCCGTTGTTGCTGCAAGCGGGGACGATGCTGAGATGCGGGAAAGTGCTTCGGATAGGCACAAACACCTGCGAGAAATCGGAATTTTCAGTATCCTCCAACAACTGAGTAACAACACCGCTGGATATCCCTGTTTGCTAGACAAAGTTAACGAAACGCTAACCTATTTCACGATGGACTGAGATTGATATGGTTGGATTGTTTTTTTCTTGTCGATCCATCGGGTGGCTCAACTGTTTTGCCTGTCTCTATCCCCTCGAATACGAATTCGTGGGTTTACGGACTTGGTGAAATCGCACAATGGAAGAGTAGTTGTGATCATTTGTTTGGAGCAATTTTATTGAGACCGTCTTATAGATCTTTTTTCAGCGCATTCTTCTTTTTTTTTTCTAACGAGTTTGCTACGGTGCCTATTTTGTCTTCAAGTTGCAGACGCGTTGAAATAGCATTCAGCCAAATAATAGTTTCTTGAGATGTCCTGAATTTTCTATGTTTCGGTCGAAGAAACTTCGCAATTTGACGTCGGGAATTGTTTAGTCATGCTTCTGATTTATGACTAAGAGGTTATTTGCTTCCGAAGGACATTTTGTTTGCCTAATATAAAGTTGATTCGTAGCTCTTCGAAGAACTTTTGAGCCACCCGATTGTCGCTTACAGTGGATCAGTTGTTGCATTTCCGGTGCAATCGTTGCTCGAAAATTCGTTTTGGTGATAATTTACCGTGTTTTTATTTGTATCCTTTTGGTGATCAGCCTGTTGAGAAATGTGCGGTTCATCTAACCTGGATCAATAGATGACTGATTATTTGGTTCGTTTCTTGTTCTTTGTTTCCAATGTGGTTTGTGTCGCAATTTGCTGCGGTTCAAGATGACAAAGCACTTACTTTCGACTGTTTTCAGATTTTTATGGATTTTGAAATCCAGTACCGCGGCCCACTTTTGATGCCTTGGTTTTCAAAAACTGAGGTACTTGCGAAAGGTGCAAATTTCGGGAAACCCTGCGTTGACACGCGATGTGTGATTGAAATTGTGAACGTTCAACCCGAAATTCCGGGATTGGATGTCGGTCGAAGAGATGTTGTTCTAGGCGAGAGTGATGCTCTTCATCGATTTCTGTTGGACGTCGGACTGGAGACGATGACTCCTGGGGAAGAGGCGATGTTTGATTATAACACGAGCCATTTCTCAGATGTGATCAAAGACTTTTCTACGGACTCGTCAGTGATGTTCTCTTGCCGGCTAAAGTTGTTGTCGTGCGAACAGCAACCCAGACTAGGATTTCGCACCAAGGACGAGCTTCGTGCTAAAGCTTTGAATCTCAAAACTCGAGGTGTCGCTCTGTTTGTGGCGAATAGAATGTATTTGGCTCTCCGCCGATTTTCCGAAGCGTTTAAACTTGTTTGCCTGTGGGAGTCTTTGGTGGATGGTCTCGGAGATGAAAAGGAAGAATTGTTGAAGCTTAAAGCTAATTTGTACAGTAACTTGGCTGCTGTTTATCTGAAATCTGGAGTGCAAGACGAATGGGTGTATTGTCTAACGCAACGTGGTCTACACTTATTATCTGATGATGAAAAGTTGCTCTACAGATTCGGTATTGTTTGTGTCAAATTGAAGAAGTACGAAGCTGCTGAGAGTGCCTTTAGTAAGTTGCTGCATTTGAATCAGAATCATGCAACTGCCGTGGATCAGCTGAGACTCATAAAGCAATTGAAAAAGAACGAAGACGAGAAGCTTGGGTTTGCGATGAAGAAGTTGTTTAATCCTGGATAACGCTGTCTTCTGGTTTCTCTGACCAGTTTTCATTCCGTTCTCTGAGAATTTTCTCTTTACAATGTGACCGAACTTTGCAAGCAATTTCATCTTCACGAAGAGTGCCCGTATAGTGCGTGAATTTCGCATAAATTCCTAAGGCTTGTGTTGTCTGTTAGGTACGATTTGCAAGATGTGGGACTTTTAAAATTGAGCCGATAATGAGCTGTTTTCGCCCAACTGCTCGAATCGTTAAGATCATCACGCAATGACTGACGTACATGCATATCTTTAAAAATGCAACGTGGGTTATGAGAGTCTGTGATTGTGATCTCCAGAAGTTGGGGAACATTTTTATCGAAAAAATCCGTCATTTTCGAAACACGGCCAGATTTAATAAAATTCAAGTGTTTCTGTTTCCATATTGTACGCATGAAGCTTCTTCGTCGAAAAGTTGTGATGTTGAGTATGTTCGGTCTTCTTCAGGTAGAGTTTTATTTTTCTCTGTGCCATGTCAGCGAAAAGTGCGGGACAACTGACGACCAGTCAGGATGCTCTTCGACGAACTGTGTATTTTGTCATGTTCGCAACTCTGATCCTCGATCTCCTGGCATTTACGTGTATCCTCCCCCTGTTCCCGTCTATTTTGGAACATTTCGATAAAGCGGACAATGACGTGATGTACAATGGGGTCAAGAACTGGTTGAAGCAGTTTCAAGGTACTCTGGGTGTTCCCGATCAGTATACATCGGTCCTCTTCGGAGGTGAGTTTTTATGGCAGTCGAAATGCCGCGCGATTTGTAGTAATACGCCTTCTTTCTGTCAACAGGTGCCCTCGGTTCGTTATTCTGTTTTTTGCAGTTTTTGGCCGGACCTTTTCTAGGGGCTTTCAGCGACTTATTCGGTCGGAAGCGAGTTTTGTTGTTGACCATGGTGAGTGTCTTGGTCGCATTCGTCGAATGATTTTTCGAAGATTTCAGGTGTCTGATTTCCCTGTGGAGGAAAAATGTACGTCCAGTTTATCATAACTTTAATTTTTATGTATTTTGAACGAAGTCTTCGACGATTTAAGCGCAATTTTTAGTCTTTGTGATCAAACAATTCCGCGAAAGCCAATGGGTGCCCTTTTTATCTAAGATTGCAATTGTCATTCTGGACCCTCTATACCAGTTGCTAACAATTGATGAAATTTTGTGGGAGCATCACTAAATGAGTTTCAGGTCAATGTTTGAGACGATTGATTGAATCGAGGTATTGCTTGAATTTGTAGGTAATTTCAAAGCTGGCGTCAGATGGTAATTGATGATGTATTGTTGGTATTCCGGTATATTTTCAATTTTGGACACCCACAATCCAATGAGCAAAAAATGGTTTGAAAAACGTGAACGAAGAGGAAGATCTAAGAGGATGTTCTTTCGTGTGATCATTAAATGGTACGATCATCTGAATACCGTTGTCTAAATGCCTGTGAAAGTTTCCGACGAAGTACAATTTTGAAAGCGCGTAAAAATCAAACTTCTTTTGTGTTGCGTAAATTTCGCTGTCCTTACAAGTTACAACTACTGATTTGTCAATCGATTCAATTCGGTGTATTCCTGATTTTCATTGTTCTTCAAATTCTTGACCGCATTTTTTCCCCTTTTTAGGTTGGAATTTGCTTATCAAACGTCGTTTGGTGCTTTGCATCCACTTTCTCGGTGTTCCTGCTTTCGCGGATAATCGGAGGACTGAGCAAGGGAAATATTGGAATTTTTACTGCGATTGTTGGTGACGTTTCTGATACGGATTCTCGCGGCAAAGGAATGGCTTTGATTGGGGCCGCGTTTTCTGTGGGATTCATCGTCGGCCCGTCGATTGGAGCCGCTTTCGTTTCCTTCGGCAACGGTTCTGAAGGCAGTTCAGAATGGTTCATTTATCCAGCTTTGTTCGCCGTTACTTTGACAGCAGTGAATCTCATTTTTGTGCACATGTTCTTGCCAGAAACATTGCCGGTATTTTAGCTTTTATATTAATCGGAAAAATCCTCTGGGACTGAATTGAGTTTTGTTCATAGGAAAGAAAAGCTAGTCCCGAAAATTCTCAGTTTTCGTGGTCTCTGAGTTCAGCCGTGGCCCGAATTCATCCCGGAGAACTTTTCTGGTTTTCATCTGTCGAACCTGTGGGTAAGATCCTGGAATGAAAAAGATCGGATGTGTGATGAAAAGTGAAAGATTCGCCAGATATGTAATTACGAAACCTTATTTTTTTTTAGCTCGTAAGAAATTGCAGACGCTGGGGCGAGCTTACTTCTTCTTCATGTTCGTTTACTCGGGGTTGGAATTTACGTTAACTTTTCTCGTTCGATCTGCCTTTGGATTTGGATCGATGGACCAGGGTAAAATGTTCTTTTTTATTGGGTTGACCATGGCCCTCGTCCAGGGAGGTTACGTCCGCCGAGTCAAATCCGGAGCTGAGCTTTCTAAAGTTATGTTGGTGAGTGTCCCGAAATTTGAAGAAGTATGTTTCCTCGCGTTGCGAAGGTCCTATTTGGTGCCGAACTTCTGTAATAAATTCAAAGCCGTTTTCGAGGTTCAGTACTGAGAGCAGATTTTGAGAAAAATGCTTCAAATGTCATGTAATTTTCCTTCGTCTGTGGTATTCTAAATTTGGAAATTGTTTGGATTTCTGACTGGAGATTACGGCAGCTTCCGCGGGACGTGTGATGTATTTTATAGCATTTCCAACTGCATTTTTTTTCAGGCCCTGTTTATGATGATCCCTTCGTTTTTTATAATTGGGATGTCGGCTACGAAATCTGGATTGTACGCTGGACTGGTTCTATATGGAGTGGGTGAGTGAAGTGTCTTTGACCCCGAAAAGAATTCCTGAGATAACCTGAAACGTGGGCTTCGCTTTTCAGGCTCAGCAGTCGTTGTGCCATGCCTCACGACAATGGTCTCTGAGGTTCCCGTGCAAACCATAAAGCGTGGTTACGTTATGGGAATTTTTCGGGCGATTGGCGCTCTTGCGCGTGCCGTTGGTCCCATTTTCGCCTGCTCTCGTGAGTCGATCATCCCCTTTTTTAATTTAAAAACGTACCTTTAACGAGTGCTTTGCTGTTCGAGTACAGTGTAGTATGTTCTTACTCAAAATGTATTGAAAATTTTTGTAGTTCTTTTTTCAATTTTTTTGTTTGCAGACTTTTTTATTCATTTAAATTAGACGTAGAATGTCAGGAAAGTGGCACAATTTGTTGTTGCTTTTTTCATTACAACTATATACATTTTCTGCACATTGCGGAAATATTTAATTTTTGAAGGATATTTTCCCCCGCTATGTGCATAAATTTCCCTTGGTCGAACCGGAAGGTCTGAAAGCAATTTTTGAAATTTTGTTTGTGAAAACGAATTTTACTCCGTACCTAGACGAAAGTCCGACTGTTTATTTTTCTTCGGATAACGCTTTGAATATTCCAATTATTTTCGTTATTTTCGAGCCAAGTAGTCTTACTGGTTTTCTGGCACCTTTACTTCACCGATTCTTCACCGGATGTGTGATGTGTCTTAAAAAAACGATTGGTCAACGTGAACAAGAAGATATTTTCATTAGTACAATTTTTTTTACTTTTCCAGTGTATTGGCTGTATGGACCTACTAATTGCTACATCATTGGCGGTGTTCTTATGGTCTTGCCGCTCTGTATTTTGTGGGGCTTTAAGAAAAGTGAGACGGACGGTTGTGTACCTGAAGGTAAACATGCGGAGTGATTTCAGTGGATGTTGAAAGAATTTGTTGGAGTAATTTTCATCTTGAAACGTTAGAGGAAGCTTTATGCATTATCAGCTCGTTGTTACAATCTTGCATTTTGTGATCCGGAGGCTTGTTAACAGAACAGGATACGCTGTTTATTTGTACCGTATTCAATTGGTTGAAGTTGAACGTTGATGGGATACGCTATCCCGGCTTTGTAACGTAATTCCTCGCAGAAATCAGTTGTTGCTCATTGCGAATTCGACTCTCTTCATGCAGAGTTCCGAAGTGGTATATTTTGAGAAATCGTACGAATTATATTTTGTTTATGGTTGAAGCACAGAAATGAAACAAATTCAGAAACGTGTTTGAATGTTGCTATTTTTTTCTGACTTCCATTTTATTTTATTGATATTGCATCGTTACATTGACTTGTCGTCCTCAGAATGTTCTTGCGACATGTTTCCCGCGCGATTTCTTCGTTATTGATCATTAGTTTGATATGCGAGTCTTATGACCCTCGCGTCGTTGAGTCAGCCTAGATTTCGCGTTTATGAACTCGGTTCGTTCTGACCTTGGGTGATTCAATCAAGCAAGCTGACCGCGGAGTGCAGTCGTGAAGCAATGGAAGATTACCGATTCCTGTTCAAAGTGGTGTTGATCGGTAACGCCGGAGTAGGCAAGACGTGTCTTGTCCGGCAGTTCACTCAGGTGTCACTTTTTTATCTTGGGTGTTTTTGGATATTTTTTTTATTCTAAAAAAGTTTTTTAGCTGTTTTGTTTGGGCTTGTTGAGCATGATTTTTTGGTTTTTTTTCGGTTTTCGTTAGTTTTTTCATGGTCATCGAGTTGAATGAGTGTAATTGATTGACGTTTCGTGGAGTGAATTTGTGTAGGCATGGAGTTTTCTGGCTCCCCGCATGAACACTATTTCAAAGTGATCGTGCTGGGAAACTCTGGAGTCGGCAAGACTTGCTTGGTGCGACAGTTTCTCAAAGTGAGATTGCATGGCTTTTTTTTTCGTTCCTTTTTTCTGCAGTGCATTTAGATGTGTTCTTCTTTTTTTCGTATGATAGTTCCCCCTGTCACTTTCCTAAAAAAATGTTCATTTTTCTTGGGCAAATAACCTCATATTTCCGGATTTTTTTTTTGCTTTGCTTGCATGATTGACCGAGGGAAGTACAGTACAGTGGATCAGTTATTACTAATATTACTGCTTTTAAATCTTGTTATTTTCGTCAGTTGTTTTATAGAAATTTTTATGCCCCTGATAATGAATCACTGTCAATCTTGAGTTAATTTCAGTTGCTTTCTCTTAATCATCGAAAAGGAGCATGTTCTCCGATTTCTGAAAAGAAAACAGGATGCGTAATGGATTCCGATGTCATAGATTTGCTTATGAATGCTACTTTAGGATGGTCCGAGCATGTGTACTAATGTGCTTCAAATGACGATTAATGTAACAATATTTCATCTACCTTTACTAAAAATTCAGAGTTGAAATCTCAAGAGAGCTTCAGACAACATTTTTCTGAGTAATTTTTCCGAGAGTTCTATCAAGGCTTGCCATTCGGAAGGAAATTGAAGTGAGCTCGTCACATTTGTTTCTCCTTCCACATGCATTATAATCGAGCAGATATTTGAAAAAAAGACTGTTTACTCTCGCTATGTTTATGACACGTATTTCTAACGGCGTTTGGTGCTGATTTCCTTATAGCATATCCAGGTCATTTTCTGAAGATGGGCTTCTTTAGAGCTGCAGTAATCGTATACATGAAGTGGCAAGTGGAATTGAATTTGAACGAATCCTTAACACCTTCGTGCTTTACTTATCCATTGAAGATCAACGCTTTATTTTCGGTTTGTGGGGATATTTTTTTTCTAAATTAGGGAATATTTCCACCGGGACAAGGAGCGACTATTGGTGTGGACTTCATGCTCAAGACTGTTGAAATTGAGGGTGAAAGAATAAAGGTGAGATTATTGCCGATATTTAGTGCATAAAAGTGTTGCTCAAGCTGTCATTTATTTCAGCTTCAAATCTGGGATACTGCTGGTCAAGAGCGGTTCCGATCGATAACGCAAAGCTACTATCGTTCGGCGCACGCTCTTGTTCTGGTTTATGATGTCTCGAACCAACCGTCTTTCGATTGCTTGCCGAATTGGCTGTCTGAAATTCAGCAATATGCCCATCCAAATGTGCTCAAGGCGTTAGTGGGTGAGTTCTTCTGTTTTAATTTGGTTTAATTTTAATTTTACTTCAGTTTATTTGGACCCGTTTCCATTTCGTATTTATATTTTACTATTCACGTCTGTTACAGGGAATAAAATTGACCGCGACGATAGAGAAGTTCCTACCGCTGTTGGTGAAGGATTTGCGCAGAGAAATGGGATGTACTTTCTGGAAACATCTGCAAAAGAGTCTGACAATGTTGACAAACTCTTCATGGATATCGCTGTGGACTTGTTCCAGGTGATTGTAAGACTATTTGATTTCTTTTGGTTTCTCGCGAGTTTTTCATTTCAGTTACTGTGCACCATTTGATGGAAACTTTATCCTTGAAATTGAAGATCACCTTGAATTCCCGTATGATGCGTGCATGATTACTTTTATCTTGTAAAAAACGCCGAGTTTTTTTTTTTTTTGCTTCTCTGTAAAGAATTAATTTGAGTACACTCACAAAATGTTCCGATTTTGAGTTTTAATTTGACTTTTATTTTGTAGGACGCGAAAAAGAATGACACACTTTATTCGGAGTCGTCGGGATCCGTGTTGGATGCGAGCAGTTATTCGATCGGAGGCTCGTCTTGTTGTATTCGTTCGTGGGTCAACAAATGATCATTCTTTTCTGCTTCGTTCTGTGCTTGGAAGTCGTTCCAAAATTTTGGTAAGCTTTTGAGAACGTCTGTCTAGGGAAGAAGACATGTCAGCGGTGGACCAAAGAGCAGTCTGTGTCCGAAGGCTTCGAAACATTCTTGTCAAAAAAAACGTTTTTCAGCCTACTCGAAGAGCGGAAGACCTTCGAATCCGGACTCTGATGACGATTCCCGTTATTTTTGTGCATACTGTGCATTTAATGAGCACGAGGAACAGATCGAAGTGTTATATTTTTTTTTCGAGGGCAAGATTCGAGCTACTGAAGTGATGCTACTTATTGGCACTTGCACACCGGGTGAACATGATCTCACGCGTCTCTCTAGGTAGTTCTTGGTTTGAATGCTCAGGTTTTGTCACGAAAATGTCCTCGTAAATTTATTCTTGTGTGTTCCTGCAGTTTTTAACGCGATACAGTATCGGTTTCGAGGCTTATTTTCATTTTCTAAAATTGACGCTGATTATTGAACATCGTTCATCGTGAACGGTAATAACAGGCGGTGCGATCCGGTCAGGTACTCAAGACCACTTGTGCTGTTTTGTAATGAAAACTACGACCTGTTTTGTAGATGGATTTTTTTTTTTGAACGAAAATTTCCCCGATTCGTTTGATGCGTTACCATGAAAAAAGGAGTTACAGTAACATTTTCTGTTGGTGGCAGTATTCGTACTAGTATCCACTTATATGTCGATGTAACGCAGCGAGTTTTAAGCACGTGTCTGGAAACTCTGATCTCGTATCTTGCTGTTTGATATTTGGAACTGTTCGCGGATGAAAGTTCTCAGGCTGTTTCAATTTTTTTTGGTGAATGGGTGAATTAAAATAATGCACAAAACCGCAAGACTTCATTTTTTATGTACGGGTGGACTTTTTACAACTGTTTCGTGTGTAGTAATATTCTCTTTTCAGCGAATTTTTCTGATCTAGACAGAGCCTTTTTAATTGAGCTGTTTTTCAACAACGATATTCTCTGTGTAACGAATTATATTAATTTTTCATCTTTTAGAATAGTACGTAAAGAGTCCACCAGTATTCACTGTCAGTTCCCTGTTCTTTGTCGCCCAAGAATTCATTTTTTGCTTTCAGATCCTTCTTGAATTTTTGCAGTTTTGGTATATTTTTGGAGATATTCCCGCCGTGTCCGAAAGAAGATGGACTCGAATGACAGTTCAGTCAGGTGAGCAATAATAAAGAATTGCGAAGTTACATGCAGAGCTGAACTCTGATCTTGAATATGGTTGCATTGAATGAATTGATGTGATTCCGAAGATAATTCAGTTTTCTGCAATATGAAGAGATTTTGGATTTTCCTGGTCGAGTCTAGGTATATTTCTCATTCGGGAAAAGGTTCCTAGTATTTTTGGTCTTGTCAGGATGCATTCAAAACGGACATAGAGTTGGGATTCAAATCGAACAGTTCCTGCCGTCATCTGAGCCATGTCGATTTTGTATTCTTGAAGCGTAGTACCGTAACTTTTGGTTGTTGCATAAAATTATTTGTCATGGAGTTACTAAAAATAGAAAGAGCAAAACAATGAATGTTGTGAGGGAATCGTGGTTACTTATCCTCTTTAGAGAAGGATGAGGAATTTTGTGACTCTCAAATTCTATTTTGCAATTTCTTCACATAACCAGGAAAATTCGAACCTACAAATTGCAAATAAAAAGTATGACTGAAGTTTATTCGGAACCCGAGCAAACATCTTGGAACGAATGTAAATGATTTTGGCGAAACGTCGTTACGACTTATTCTTCGATTTACTTTTCATGTGATCAAAAATGTATGTGGTGTATTTGTTTCACAGTCCTGGAGATACCGTTGAGGAAAATGTGCGAACAATTATGGAATTCGCAAAAATCGAGGAATCTGAAATACGTGGCCTGGTTCAGCAGGTACATTTTGGGGATTTGAGCTCAGCTGCCGATACAGTTCTAGTCGAAGTTTCTGACCAGCTGCTGAAACAGTTGGAAGACGGCGATGAGTGAGTTACGCATTTCATGGCTACAGTATATTGAACGGTATGAAGTACGAGGGCTCGTTCAACAGTTGTGCCAATTTAGCTCCTTGTATCGTAGATCTTTGTTCATTTTTAATACAGTATTTTTATTATTGAAGTGAGGTAAGATCTAACCGTTTATGACGTTTGTTCCAGTGTTTTTGCTCAATCCGCATTGGAGACTGAAGAGCTGCCAGTTACGTCGTCCCGCGTAAAATTAACTTGGCTTGCAGTTGGTTCGAATTCACTCGAAAGTTTCGAACGAATTCGAAACCATACACAAGTTATGCCGCAGATTTTACCAACCATGCCCCAATGAAAAAAAATCTTTCAATTTTTGCAAATTATATGATTTTGAATCGGCGCGTGAAGGTTGCCCTTGAATGTCAGATGGTGACAAAGACGTCCACGTGGCAAATATAAAATTATTAGCCGAAATTCGAATAAATTATTTCCGCTAAGCTGCCGTTGAAACGAATATTTACACAAATTCTTCGTATGAATTCTAGTTCGGAGAATTAAAACTCCTTAGCTCTACTGTGCAAAAGAATTTCCTAGCTTTTTATATTTTCGATTTCGACGGATAGATTTATGTGAAGAAAATTAATGGAGGTTGATGGCAAAGTCATGGAACAACGCCGAAGGTAATTTCTTTGGTTAAGTGGTCAGATGAAAATATTTTTTCTTGAACTCGAAATGGCTTTTTTTGAATTTTTTCCAAGGGTGAAATTTCCGAACCAGCCTTCGTACCATTTGAAGTACTGTAATCTATTTCATTCCAAGATACGATGCGGGATTGATTTTTGTCTTGATAATTTTTTTTTTGTGTGTAGGTTTGTTTTTCGGGGAGATGAAGACGATTCTGTTGTTTTGTGTGGCGGCGGCGTGTCTTACGATGTTCGAGAAGCCGACGTATCCAACAATCTTCTCTTTTTGCCTGACCTACGTTGTCCTGAGGAAGCTTCTCGGGCCTCACAAGGAATAACTGTTTCAGCCGCCCATGTGAGATCGAAATTCGTAAACCTCGTCGACAATAACACATTTTCGAGTGTTTTTCTACTCAGGTAACGCTCATGAAGCAAACGTACTGGGAACTGCGTCCGACGAAACCGAGAACGAAAAGGATTCTCGAGTTGTTGTCGGTGGCTTTGTACAATGGCCCTGAGAAAGAAATGGAAATCGATGAGGAGTCGAGGAAGTTCTATCAGATCAGTGATTTGCTGGATTGCGTTCAGGCTAGTGAGCAGGAAATTTTGACTGCGTTGAAGAAGATGCGAGCGTATACAGTTTCAGGTTAGTTGGATGCTCGGGATCCAGTTACATGATTTTCTTCTGTGGAAACAAGATTTTTCGCCGGGAACTGATTCAAGTTTTCATGGAATTTTTATGGGCTCGAAAAATACTGTACTTACGAAATTGGAAATTTAGACCACAACATCATCCAATATCATCGTACACGACGGGCCTAACAAATATTCTCGGGATAGAAATTGAAATGGCATATGAAGGAGCTGAAAAAAATTATTGTTCAGAAAAAACATTATTCGACGCGATTAAAAAATACATGACGTATATTTAAAAAGCTAGTTTGACGTATACAGTATTTGTAATTTTTTGCGATAGTCACCCGGGCAGATTTCTGTTTTTCATTCAAAAGATGACGCGCCCATGTCACAGATTTTCGGTGTATCCCAGCTTCTTCAGAATTCTTGAAATGCACATGGTATCAGTTCCAAGGGTTGCCTCCAGATCTTCCGAGGTAATTCCGTTATTTTCATCGACAGCCGCCATATTCTCATCCCAAGTGACGGCTGTTGATGAAAATTGCGAAAATTAGTAATCAATTAATGACGGCAACCCATGGAATTATTGCCGGGTCAATTTCAAGAATTTTGCGAACAAACAGTAATTTTTTTCTGCTCAATATTTCGCCGTTTTTATTTATATTCCGAAAATATTTGCTAGACCCCTCGTATACTGTACTGTATATGCAGTGTACTTCCATCATGAAGATGTGAAAAATCCTTGAAATCAATTCCGAACGTTATTTGGAGGAACATCAATTTGTAGATTCTTTACGAACGTTGAAGTTTCGATTATTCAGGCATTATTCATCTTTTAAAATGTGTCCACCCTATCGGTGAGGTACGATGGAATCGACTTCTTCAATTTTCTCATCAAACTTTCGGTTCAATTTTAGGATGTTGGCGAATTCTAAAGCCTGAGTACGAACTGCGAGTATTGAACTTCATCATCAACTTCATCGAGGAAAACTCCTGGGCACTGGATAAGATCGACCGTGAAGAGACCATAAAAACCTTGAAAGATCTCGAGCCTGAAGAAATCGTTGCTCAAGTTTTTGACTTCTTTTTCGAGAAGGGCGAACAAGGGCTTCCGTCCAAGATGAGAAAAGATTTAGTTAGTCGTTATTTTGGCGAAATGTTGCTGAGGCAGTCGGAGAAGTTTGATTTGGCAGATTTTCTCATGGCGTGGCAGGGAAGCGTGCCTNGACGCGATTAAAAAATACATGACGTATATTTAAAAAGCTAGTTTGACGTATACAGTATTTGTAATTTTTTGCGATAGTCACCCGGGCAGATTTCTGTTTTTCATTCAAAAGATGACGCGCCCATGTCGCAGATTTTTCGGTGTATCCCAGCTTCTTCAGAATTCTTGAAATTCACATGGTATCAGTTCCAAGGGTTGCCTCCAGATCTTCCGAGGCAATTCCGTCATTTTCATCAACAGCCGCCATATTCTCATCCCAAGTGACGGCTGTTGATGAAAATTGCGAAAATTAGTAATCAATTAATGACGGCAACCCATGGAATTATTGCCGGGTCAATTTCAAGAATTTTGCGAACATTTTCGGATAACGAAATTTTTTTTCTGAACATTAATTTTTTTTCGGCTCAATTGTTCGCCGTTTCAATTTATATTCCGAAAATATTTGCTAGACCCCTCGTATACTGTATATGCAGTGTACTTCCATCATGAAGATGTGAAAAATCCTTGAAATCAATTCCGAACGTTATTTGGAGGAACATCAATTTGTGGATTCTTTACGAACGTTGAAGTTTCGATTATTCAGGCATTATTCATCTTTTAAAATGTGTCCACCCTATCGGTGAGGTACGATGGAATCGACTTCTTCAATTTTCTCGTCAAACTTTCGGTTCAATTTTAGGATGTTGGCGAATTCTAAAGCCTGAGTACGAACTGCGAGTATTGAACTTCATCATCAACTTCATCGAAGAAAACTCCTGGGCACTGGATAAGATCGACCGTGAAGAGACCATAAAAACCTTGAAAGATCTCGAGCCTGAAGAAATCGTTGCTCAAGTTTTTGACTTCTTTTTCGAGAAGGGCGAACAAGGGCTTCCGTCCAAGATGAGAAAAGATTTAGTTAGTCGTTATTTTGGCGAAATGTTGCTGAGGCAGTCGGAGAAGTTTGATTTGGCAGATTTTCTCATGGCGTGGCAGGGAAGCGTGCCTGATGGTGAATTTTTTTGCACCTCGTAAGTTGTTTTCCTACAAATTGACGATTGAGTGTGTGTTTTACATTGCGTAGGTATTCAAACAAACTTGTCGCAGTTGAGCGGAGTCGCGTTCGTGAATAAAGCTGCGCAACCAGCGTATGTTGAACGGTTGGCCGTGGAGAGTTTGCCGGACAACATCACGGATCGGTTAGCCTTACTGTTTAAAAAACGTGAAAAATGGCTGCTGGAAGACGTTTCTCCGTTCATCGAGTGAGTAGAGTTTTTGGCACATTCAAAAGTACTTCTTCTTTTTGCTGGCTCGAGATTCGAAAGACGAAAATAATTTTTCCCTGTGCCTAACCTTGCTTTCAGGAATATCCGACAAGTTTCGCCTGAGTTAACTAACCGAATCAAAATTAGCCTTGCGGAACAATAGGTAACAAGAACTAATACGAACCGTCCTTATCTACGGTGGGACCCCGACTTACGGACGATTCGACTAATAAAGATCACTCGCTGAAACTCAAAACTGGAAAATATCTCAAGATGAAGATATTTCAAGAACAATTCGTATGCAAATGGTAAAACTTCATTTTTCAAAAAGTTTATATCTCTTGAACGAATTGAGCTGTTATATTAAGAAAAATCAAATTGATTATCATAAACAGGCTGATTTCAAGTGCTTTTTTGTAGTTTTTTTCCATGTATACACAGTACAGTATAGCCAGACTTGTTCTTGTTCTTTGCTTCATGAGCTCCTTTATTTGCTGAAAGATCAGATTCTGTGTGGTTTTCTTCTGCACACGAAGTTTCTGCATCTTTGGGATGAGAAACCATTTCTTTGGGGAACTTACCTTATTTACTCAAGTACAACGCGCAACTTTTTTTTCAAAATTTAGAGGAAAAAGGGATAGGATTAGTTGTAAGTGGATATACGTTTTCCAAAACATTTTCTATTTTTAAATGTGCCTTATACTCCATTTGAAGTGGAGTTTTTGATCAATTTTATCAAACAAATGCATTTTAAAGGAAAAAATTGGATGAATTCAGGTTTAATTCATGTCTGAATTCAAATTTGGGTGTTATTATTTTCAAAACGTTACAGTTTTAGAGTCACTGAAAATGTCGCTTCTTACTTGGGGATACAATGTAATCAGAATTTTAGACTGGAACACTTCGGTGCGTGTCTTACTCGAGGGCGCGTGGTACTCAAGTACATGCGGGTACTACATTCCAAATTTTTGATGAACAGGAGAACCAATTTAATAAGTTGCCGTGATCCGATAAATTGGGACAAGGACCAAGCACCAATTACGTCCGCATCTTGGGGTTCCACTGAACTGAATTTCAAAAACTTGAAATATTGCCCAGAAAAAACGTAATTCACGGACAAGGGGAAAAGTCGCGTTTTATGCGTCGATGGAGACGTTTTGTAACGGGAGTGATTTTGAATTGGTTCCAGAGATCTCACTACGGAAAAAGTGACGGCAAACGCACTCTTGACGAAGCATGCTCGAGCGATGCTGGTTGGCGGAAAGAAGTATTTCTGTGCGAGACACGGAAAGTGATATCTTTTTAATTCACATTTTTTATACTTTTGAATACAACCGCGGTAATAAACAATAATTGCTTGATTGCTCACAATGATTGTTGGTTGCGTGATTTTTGTTTTCCTGTGCGGTACGCGTGTCGTAATCCGATTAGCGTGTCGTGTAAGTGTAGGATTCGTGCCAGATTGAATTACCGCGGATGCTCAAGTCAAGGATGATGTTTCAGTGGTGATGTTTCAGTGCTTGTTAAGCATTGAAGTTCTTAGCACTGGATATCGCTAGGGTGGGATGTCGGTCGTACCCTCTGGCCATGTCATTAACCTGCAACGTTGAAGGAGACACGTCAATCATGAAGATATCCTCAGAAATGTGAGTGATGTATGTACTGTCGTTCAGTGCAATCTAAAGCTTTTTTTTTCTCTGACACTGCCCGAGTGCAAGAACTAAAACTAATTAACCAGCAAATGTTATGAAATCCTTTCAAGCATAATCCTCGGATCTCATTCCAGATAAATCATAAAAACAAGCAAATTGAATTTAATTGAACCGGTCTTGCTTTAGTGCTCCAAGTTTTTCTATTTTTACAAGACACACGGAAAACCGTGTTAGGTACAGTATTTTATGTGAGGATAAGTCTTCACCTAACTTCGCAGCTCAAAAAATGGTGTGCATATTATGCAAAAGCACACAGTACGTGAGTGAATGTAGTCATATGCAAATAAAAATGTTCTAAGAGCACACACCTCCAATGTTCATAATTCGCATGGAACATACTTTTTTGAAATTTGAAAACGCAGCATTTATCGCCTACTGTTTCATCACGGAGGGGGATTGAAACCCAAAAGAAATTCAAATACTGTACTCCAGTGATGTCCGAAGATGAGAAGAGCTCACCAGTTGAGCCAAGTATTCGTTTTGATTTTGCTATGGTAACTTTCGTAAAACAAGCTCCTTCTACAGCGAATGCTTCATAGAACACATATTTCCGCTAGAAAATTTAAAATACTCAACAAAAAAGTTCGCGCACGAAATTACTGTACGAACAGTCATTTTCCAAAAATGCGCTCAAGTNCACACGGAAAACCGTGTTAGGTACAGTATTTTATGTGAGGATAAGTCTTCACCTAACTTCGCAGCTCAAAAAATGGTGTGCATATTATGCAAAAGCACACAGTACGTGAGTGAATGTAGTCATATGCAAATAAAAATGTTCTAAGAGCACACACCTCCAATGTTCATAATTCGCATGGAACATACTTTTTTGAAATTTGAAAACGCAGCATTTATCGCCTACTGTTTCATCACGGAGGGGGATTGAAACCCAAAAGAAATTCAAATACTGTACTCCAGTGATGTCCGAAGATGAGAAGAGCTCACCAGTTGAGCCAAGTATTCGTTTTGATTTTGCTATGGTAACTTTCGTAAAACAAGCTCCTTCTACAGCGAATGCTTCATAGAACACATATTTCCGCTAGAAAATTTAAAATACTCAACAAAAAAAGTTCGCGCACGAAATTACTGTACGAACAGTCATTTTCCAAAAATGCGCTCAAGTGCAGTCCTGGAAAATACTGTAAACCGCCAAAACCAAGCGAGAGTACCCCTGGGAAGCAAGCGACGATTGTTTTCCAAGCATTGAGACGAAAATTAGAAAATTCCCTTTGCTTCATACAACTTTTTTTTTTAAAGAAAATTTTCTAGGAAGCCCGTCTGGGAGGGAGGGATGACTCTAGATAGAATGATCGGCTTTTCAACTCGAATGGGAAAAGCTAAGGGTAAAGTCTGTGACCTTAACCTGTCTCGAATAAGAGGCTAAGGCTCCACTAAAATTTCGGGGAAAAAAGTGTACACTTGTGCAGTTTCATCGGAATTTATGTGGATTCGGTTACCTTATCACTGTTGATAATTTCCACACCAAGCGCCAGCAGTTCAGCAGTCATTGAAGAGACTGTGTCCGGATCGATGCTACGAGTAGCATCGTCTACCATCACGATTCTGTATTAGAAGACTTGGCGTACGAAGCGACACCTTGGACTTTGGGTCGTATAAAAATAAGGTAGCTCATTAAACTACTCAACCGTCGCGTCCATTTTACATACCACGTAACCATTATAAAGTTCTTGTAATCGGTGCCATGTACGCAAGATCTCTTCGAAGTTCGAACACTCGCACGAGGCATAAAAAAGGACGTTGGAAGCATAAAAAAATTGGTGCATAGTTTTGAGTAAAAATACCCTGTTGATGCAAGTAAAATGTGTACGGTATTTACTTGAGTACCACGCACATCTTTTTTCTAGAAATTGAGGCAGAAAAATAGGGTGCACATGGTATTTGGGATAAATTTTAGAGAAAAATTCCCAAAACCAGTGCCCCTCACATCCAAGTAAAAAAAAATGGAAGAGGAAAAGTGGGGCGCCAAGTCTCTTCCTGCATGTGGGGAACAATGGCTCAATTTGCTTCATCCCTTGGAGATGCAACAGGAAGTAAAGGAAGGGGGTAATATTCATCTAATTGAGGAAGCTGTTGTATATCGCAAATGCATTTCAACTGGTTCTGCAGATGGAAAAAGACAGAACCATAAAATATCTTCTGAACCGCATGCTTCGCTGTGGAACCTGAAACCCAGCATATTTTTATTCCATCGAGTAATTTGATGAGTTGGCAGCGCAGGTAAAATGTATGGTGCATTGGTAATATTTCAAGAACATTAGCATGCCATGTACGCAAGATCTCTTCGAAGTTCGAACACTCGCACGAGGCATACAAAAGGACGTTGGAAGCAGAAAAAAATTGGTGCATAGTTTTGAGTAAAAATACCCTGTTGATGCAAGTAAAATGTGTACCGTATTTACTTGAGTACCACGCACATCTTTTTTCTAGAAATTGAGGCAGAAAAATAGGGTGCACATGGTATTTGGGATAAATTTTAGAGAAAAATTCTCAAAACCAGTGCCCCTCACATCCAAGTAAAAAAAAAATGGAAGAGGAAAAGTGGGGCGCAAAGTCTCTTCCTGCATGTGGGGAACAATGGCTCAATTTGTTTCATCCCTTGGAGATGCAACAGGAAGTAAAGGAAGGGGGTAATATTCATCTAATTGAGGAAGCTGTTGTATATCGCAAATGCATTTCAACTGGTTCTGCAGATGGAAAAAGACAGAACCATAAAATATTCATCCCTTGGAGATGCAACAGGAAGTAAAGGAAGGGGGTAATATTCATCTAATTGAGGAAGCTGTTGTATATCGCAAATGCATTTCAACTGGTTCTGCAGATGGAAAAAGACAGAACCATAAAATATTGATGAGGAAAAATGAATTTAAAAATAAAAATGTTTACATTTCAATGTAATATCACATTTTTTTATTTTCAGCAACAACGAAAAACCAGGGTGCGCATTTTAAACAGGGATAGGTTTTTTAACTAATTTCTGGTGGGAAAATGGGGGTGCGTGCCGTACTTGATGGCGCGTGGTACTCAAGTAAATACGGTACATTTTTTCTGGAAAATTAAGGCAGATAAGTGTAGTTTGCATACTGGGTATGCAGGTAAAGTATGCATAAAAAAAACTATAGTATCATGTCTAGTGAGTCTCTATGTAGGTGAAATTAATGAACAGAAATTACATTTTGCACCAATCCTGTTAGTATGCTCTATGGCCTATGCTATGTTATCTTATTTTATTTTGGAATTGTTGCGTTAAAAATTATTATTCGAAAAAATTGATTTTCAACCAACAGAAGCTGGTGTGTGGGTCTTGAGCAAGGATACAGATTTTTGGGCAAATTCCAAGCCTGAAATTAAGGTTGGACTTTCTCACTCAGAGGCTCATCGTAGGTAAACATGGTACAGTAGTATCCTTCGTCGTTCAGTGTTCAGTCTAAAAAAAACATTTTCAGCAAACTAAAAGCATATGGGGACGTAGAATTACCTCAAGTTTTTTGCATATTAAGAGCCTCTTTAAAGTGTGAAAAAATTTTGAACAGTCCTATCCTTCCATTTTATTGTATGCAAGAATACTCCTAATATGACCTGTTTCCTTTCGAACTGCGCCAAGATTTTTCAAGAAACTCCAATCACGAAAATATCTCATCTGAACAGTCCATCTGCATTTCAATTAGTTGATTGCCTTTTTTGCGTCCGTCACGCACAAAATTGCCTTTTTTTCTTGTAATAATGAACTCGTACTTGCGATCGAAAACAATTGACGATTTGATTTATTCTTGCTGGAATATTTAACTACTGTATAAACTATAATATATGCGCATGATGATCACCCGGATGAAAGTCTTCTAAAATTAGCTCATGTCCTACCTCCTGTAAGTTTCTTATCAGTACTGTACTTAATCTCCTTCCATATATAGCGGATCTCAAATCGGTGTTCGTTCTTCATTCATTATACAGGTGGACACTGCCGAAACCGAACCCAAGGGACCAGAAAAAAATCGCTGTAGTAAGAATTTTTATGTCACACAGTGAGAGAACCCTACAGGGCAACAAAGAATTCTTTATAAAGAGAAAATCGTTGTAGACAAGATCGTCGCGGAGAGCGTACATCTGTATCTTTGGGAATATGCTGCACTTCTGTTTCTGCAAGTATACTGCAACCAACGTATGTTGCTGCTGATTGTCCAACGCTTATTGTTAGCTCTGGAGTCTAGAATCTAGATGAACCAAACCTCCATTTTGTAGGCAACTCGCAAGACATTCAAGAAACTCTTGACACTTACCCACGCAATAGTCGTAAGCGAGCCCAACACAGAAAACATCAGTGATCCCGCGCTTTTTCAGAATCGAATCCAGCTCGGTTTCTGACAGTTTCCCATTATCCCAGAAGGCGGAAAAAGAGTCTATTTCCGGATTGGTTCCCTTGTAAACCAGCTCAGCCCCTTCCACTACCTGAAAATCAGAACTCGTTATCAAGAGTGATGAGATGATTCTTTGAAAATGTCTCACTCACTGTTAAGTTCTGATGCAATTCGGCTCCCCAGGAATTTTGCACGCAGTGGTCTGGCCAGAGAACCACTTCAGTTGGCTGTGAACCCGCGAAAACAACCACGTCTCCGACTTTGGCTTCCTCGGGTTTAACCTTGGCAAAAGTATTCCTTTTAATGAATATTGCGAAAAAAATTTGCCACAAGGAATTGTGTGCGGGAAAAAAATTATAGAAACCCACTGTGGAAGATGCGTCCATCGGTCTTTGCTTTACGTTTGATAAAAATGAAATGTGGTTTTCCGGGTGCCAGTCGTAGCTGTAAACAACGGCGTCAAACGTCACGTTTTCAAGCAGTCCGTTAATGGGTTCTATCACCTGCAAAAATCCCGATGAGTTGCAACTACCGACTTCTTTTTAATTTATGTCGATTGCATGAAAACGCTCATCGAATAATTTCAGTAAGCGTCGTCCTGACTTCCTTTTTGACTTATCCGAACTGTATTTTTTCACGATATTCAGTTAAAATGATGAATTAATGACGAACTATGAATGTACTGTAATAACCACAGGTGAGCCTTGTTAACTCAAACCTCCCTAAGTAGAATTTTTTTCAGGTCTCCAGCATATCTGAATCCCATTAGAAACGATCGATGCATTAAAAACCTCCCTAAGTTGAAAGCTTTTCCCCTCTAAATAACCTCCATAATTCAAATTTTCTGTGACCTGTTGGCCATTATTTTCTTGACCCAAGAAGAAAAAAAGCAACAAAAACAGAAATTTGTGTGTTTTAAAGTAAGTGAAAGACTTGATTGGGCAAATAATGAACCCCTGCCTCAAAGTTCAGCAGCCTATCATTTAAGAAGCCATTTAAGTCCCAGAATATTACCATTTGCATTTTTTTCTAAGTTTCCCTGAAAAAAGGGCTTTGTATTGAAGTTCAAACCTATGTAATTCAAAACCTCTATGAGTCGATTTTTTGCAGGTCCCTTGAAATTCGACTTAGAGAGGTTTAAATTTGATTTATGTTCCAATTTTCTTTGTTTGTGGCCGCGATAAAATTGATGAAATTGGTATGACTCACCAATATATAAACGTAATTGCATATTCGAGATATTTTCGAAGTTTCTGTCAGGATTACTTAGATTCTATAGAGACATTCGATTGACATTGGTGAGCATTAAATCCAAGAAGATATTTTTACTGTACTGTATGATCAAAATGGCGAAGTGAGCTCTTCAGAAATGTCTAGTTTCATGCTACGTTTTTTAATCGTGTAATTTTCATGTTGGCCTGATAGTTCAGCAACACTGGAGATTACTAAAAAAAAGCGGGAATCTTCAACAAGTAAAGTTCGTGATTCATATACGTACTGTACAGTAAAATCTCTCTACAACAATCTTGCATACAATTATCTCCTCATCTGTACGACGATTTTGTTTTTTTGGATCCCATATAGGATCCTTTCCCATGTTATAGGGGTTCTCTATACGAGGAAAATTTCTCTACCACGATTTTTTTTTTTGGCCCCTTAAATCTCGCTGTAGAAAGAGTCCACCTGTAATCATGTGAAAATGTGCACAGTTGCTGTCACTGAAAACTGCCGGAAATGTTGGTACAAATTGGTTGCCCAATGCAATACAAGTTATGTGTCATAATCATCCCCATACTTCAGAAGATCCATTGCTGAAAGCAACTTGCAAAATTGATCAAAATGAATTTTATACCTGGTTTAGGAGGTGTTTTGAAAAACGGCATAAAGGGGGATAAAATCGCATTTTAGCTCTCAATAAGAAGAGCAGGATTCAATATAGTGCTGGGCAATATATCACTATTTTTCTTGTACAGTATTGACAATCAGCTGACCTCGACGCCTTTGTGTCCTGCTGGACAGTTGTCCATGGACAATGATCCATTGATGAAATCATTCTGCACGTCAATCACGAGCAAGGCAGGTTTTGGCCAACAAATCACCGCAATCCATTCCTTCCAGCATGCTTGGAACTCCGTCAGGTCAATAAATCCGTCCTGCAGTGAAATCAACGGATTTTTCAACACACCTAATTTCGGGATTACGAATGTTTGATTATAACGGAATTCTTCTAAAAGGTTTTAACTCAAACGCCGTATAAACACAAGGCCGGAAATCTCAAAACAAAACGTTGCTCTTCAGAATAATACGTTGATTTCTTCAAGATTTTTCTGCAGTTCCCTTTACACTCGCGGTAATTTAAATACTGTTAGAATTATCATTGCGGAAGTTCAACTACTGTGTATTTCTTCTGTGAAAAACGCATATTTTGCTGGAGAATTTTGCAATATCAATTTGTCAGGGAATACTCGAGTTTGCTGGGGGAAAAGGAACCTCTTTATTTTGAAATTGAAAATAGTTATGATCTTAATGCTAATTTCAATGCGTTTACGTACAACGAATTTTTCGTCATAACAAAATATTTGTATGCCCTTCGAACTTCGTTGCAAAAATTTCCCACCAATAGCAGTACAGTTATTCTGAGTGCTGTACAGCAGTGTTCCCCAACCTTTTTGTAAAAATTTCCATGAAATTTTTCAAGTAATGACTGATTCCCGAAAAAAAATTCTGTGGGCCAGCAAAGTTTTATAAAAATTTTGCAGACGCCAAAATGTAGCTCAAAAGACTTTATGACGAGCAAGCATTTAAAAATTTTCAGATTTTTTGCAAAAATTGAAAACAATTGAGCAGCTATAGGTAGTGGAATGTCTTCAAAAATTAGAAACGTGGGCTTGAAGAAAATTTTCTCAGACTAAAAATTTAAATAATTTATTTCATCAGGTGAAAACTTGTCTGAAGTACAATCAAGAGAAAAGCTAACTTATTTCTTCATAGGATAATTTAAACTGCAGTTGTCTTTCAGGCATTTCAGACTTCATTGTTACTTTTTATTACCACGTTTTTATGAACTCACTTTCTTGTCTGTCTGTTTGTCCAGATCAAATTTTGAAACTCAAATTTCACTCACTTCCAGACTAGCTATCAAGCTGAAACTTTCAGGATAGCCTAGAAACTGATGACAATGCAATCTTTTGTGAAAAAATTAATTTTAAGAATATTTTTTAAAAAGAATAAAATAATTATAGTAGATTAAAAAATTAATCTAAAAAACCACGTTTTCAAAAAGCAAAAAATAACCTTAAATGTGGTGCGCATGGAGATTGTTGGGAAGAACTGAAATACAAATGAAATAGATGCGCACCACGTTTAAGGTTATTTTTTGCTTTTTGAAAACATGGTTTTTTAGATTAATTTTTTAATCTACTATAATTATTTCAATTTATTATGGTGCATAAAATTGTCCGCTGACCACCGGTTGGGGAACACCGCTGTACATTACAGTACATTACATTATTACAATACTGTACTCTACTGTAGCAATATATTATGGTGGCAAACCATGATTCAAACTACCGCTGAAGGCTTGTTTACTTCTTAAGAAAACTCGAGCTCGACCATTACGTAACTGAGACTTCATTGCAAACAAGTCGTAAAAACGCGTACGTCAATTTTATAGATATTTTAGTTTGAATTTTAAGTGACGTCTTCATAAAAATTAGCATCGGTGCCGCTTCAACAAAGCATAGTCAATAAATGCATTTTTATACATATTCTTTGTCTTTAGTTTTTAATGTATTTCTGAGTTGTAGCTCTTTCAAGAATGGTCCAAAACCCTGTAATCGCCTAAATTTCTTGCTCATCTCGATTTATGTATTAGCCCAAAAAATTAGCGGATCAGAGGAAAAGGCACAAAATTGAGTTGTATTCATGCAGTTCAGAGAGCGCTTCGTTTTTTTCCATGAATTGAAATTTGGCTATTATCAATTGGAATTAATGTTCAACAAGAGCTGGATTATTGGGTTTATTATTGTATCCGAACCTCTTGCATATTTGCGATAGCTGTATATATTATTTTACTTGGCCTCTTGTGAAATGAATGCATGAAGTAATTTTTATGATTATCATTACTGTCGGGAATTTTTAGCCATTCGAAGTGATTAGCGTGGGACGCTTGAAACATTTCGAGATTTTTTCCCTCGCAACGGGGATACAATAAGGGTTGTCCCAGTTCCACGGAGGCAATAAATAATGCATAATTTTCCTCAGGAATTTTCAAGCTAGTTTTTTTAAGGTTACGACATTTTTTTCATTACCCTGCGTGATGAGAAGTAAAGACTCTCCACGACAAATTTTCCGCTCATTTTACAGCGTTCTGAAAATGTCTTTAAATTTTGAAAGAAAACTAGATGTCAAAACATCATGAGGAAAATTGTGACCTTTTTTTAACCTTATGAATACAGTATCTTCTTCCGTATCGAACACCGTATAATACTATAAATATCGTCTTGATGTCTGACTTCTCAATCTCTTTTTCCTGGACAATTTTCACATTTGACGAATCTCTCATTTAAAAAAATGCTGTGCACCGCAAAATTACCTTCTTCTTCCCATTCAAATCCTGGACAATTATTTTCAAATGGAAAATTTAGATTACAAAGGCTCAATTTACTCCGAAATATATTCCGAATCATTGGATCACGATATCAATACCCTTTATAATAGAGGGGAATAAGTAGAGTACTGTTCATGCATTGAACATTTTAACGGAATATAGAAAGGTTTGACTCGCAGGTTTGGGGTAAACTTCACATTGTTATACCCACATAAGTAATCACACATATATGCATAGTTAATTTACTCCTCGAAATTCGTGTCGAAAAGAAAAAAGGAACCGGAAGTCACCTTATTGGTGTCGAATGAAGCAAAAATTTCCGCCATCCGTTGCTTTTCGACATTGTACTTCCGCCCTTCAGAGTCGTGGAAAAGCGCCTCGCATAGAACGATGAATTCAATTACGTTCAAAAAGCCCACCCTGAAATAAAGAAGAACAAAAACAAAAAAACGTTCAAATGAGCACAACGCCTAACTTATTGGCGCCATTCAATCAAGTCAGCGCCAAGTCCAGTTGAGCGCCAAATGCCCAACTGAGCAAAATATAGTTCTATTGATACTGCACGTATTCTGTGACATTTAAAAACGCCACATTATTTCCGTATACGGTATATGTAAATTATGATTTTCAAAAGTCAGAGCAAATGAACGAATGAACATTTTTGCGTTTGTCACTGTAAATTCAAGCGCGGACTTGATCACTTCTCGGACAATTTCCATATATTGGATTTGAGGCATGATGTGTCACATTTTCGCGCGTAATGTACGTCAATGCGCAAATTTTTAATAACTTATTTCCCCAATTGACAACGAATGTTGGAAAATTTTCTCCAAAAATTCAATTAGAACGTTTTTCTTCAACTCGTAAGATACAGAAAATAATTGAGTAGAAGAAACCTGCACAGAATCTTTCGTATTCAAGTGAGAATAATGAGTCCAAAAGGCAAAAGAGCACAAATATTGGCTGGACATACAATCGTTGATGGAAAATCATTAAAAAGACAAGGTCAGGTCCATTTTGGAAAGTAAATTATAGCAGTGTTCCCCAACCCATGTGTGCGGAATTTCTCGTGGTCCCTCTATGAAACAAGGCGCCAAATTGGAGCCGAAACTGTAATCCAATCGGCAGGTGTCGAATGAAGCAAAAATTTCCGCCATCCGTTGCTTTTCGACATTGTACTTCCGCCCTTCAGAGTCGTGGAAAAGCGCCTCGCATAGAACGATGAATTCAATTACGTTCAAAAAGCCCACCCTGGAATAAAGAAGAACAAAAACAAAAAAACGTTCAAATGAGCACCACACCTAACTTATTGGCACCATTCAATCAAGTCAGCACCAAATCCAGTTTAGCGCAAAATTCCCAACTGAGCATTGTATAGTTCTGTTGATACTGCACATATTCTGTGAGATTTTAAAAACGCCTCACTCTTGCCGTATATATGTAAATTATGATTTTCAAAAGTCAGAGCAAATGGACGAATGAACATTTTTTGCGTTTGGCATTGTAATTTCAAGCGCGGACTTGATAACTTATTCTCAGAAAATTTTCATACATTGGATTTGAGGCATGATGTGTCACATTTTCGCACTTAATGTACTTCAATGCGCAAATTTTTAATAACTTATTCCCCCAATTGACGAAGAATGTTGGAAAATTTTCTCCAAAAATCCAATTAGAACGTTCTTCAACTCGTAACATGCAGAAAATAACTGAGTAGAAGAAACCTGCACAGAATATTTTGTATTCAAGTGAGAATAAGGAGTCCAAAAGGCAAAAGCGCACAAATATTGCCTGGCCATACAATCGTTGATGGAAAATCATTAAAAAGACAAGGTCAGGTCCATTTTGGAAAGTAAATTATAGCAGTTTTCCCCAACCCATGGCCCATGGGCCTGCACCAGTCTGCAATGCTGGTCTGTGGGGAATTTTCTTCAGAATAATAAATTTATCAAAAGTAGCAATGAAGTCCGGTATCTTTATCTGAAATCTGGAAAATACATTGGCAGTAAAAATTATGTTCTGAAAATAAAAGCTTTCTTTTCTCCTAACACCACTTCAGAAACATTTTCAACTGTAAAATTTGTCTATGATGGTCTGCAAAAGTTGTTTTGCATAAAATATAAAAGTTGTTCATACTGAGAAACCTTTCTTCAAGCCCACCTTTCTGATTTTTGAAGACATTCCACTGTAGCATTGGTTGTTAACTTAATTTTTGCATAAATCCATAAACTTTTAAAATGCCTGCCCAGAGGTCTTTCAAAAAAAAACTTTGTGTGTCTCCAAAAATTTTATGAAACTTTGCCGGTCTGCAGAATTTTTTTTGGGAATTTGCTAGTCCACAAAAAAAAATTATGGAGATTTGCCGGTATGCAGGCTAAAAAAAAGTTTGGTAACACTGAATTAGAGGAATTTAAATACCATGCATTATTCAAAAAATTCGTTGTTATGAGATTTGATATAACAATATTCTACTAAACGTACTTTAAAACCCTTTCTGTGGTCAAAGTTTGTTGGTTCACATCATCCCGTGTTGCCTAAATCCTAATTTAAATTAAGGATACCGTATTGGAAATAATCAACATCCCTTCAGATCAATTTCCAAAAGTTTTCTGTGAAATGTGTGGAAAATATATTCGAAATCTTTATTTCAGCTGTATATACACGCTCGGGATTTTGTGAATTTGTGTCGGCAGAATTCGAACAGGCAGCGAAAATTAGTTTCACAGATAATTTGTCTTACTCATATCAGTTCAGGTTTTTTCCCCCTGTTGGTTTGTGCCAGAAAATGCGTTCGTGCTCCCTTATTCAAATGAAAAGCACACATTTTTGTTCCGTAATTTTGTAAAGTGGAAAGTTTGAAAACGGTGACGAAACGCCCTTTTCTCCGCGTTGAGATTTTTAACGATATGCAATGACACCATTACCACAACCCGGAAACCCGGGTGCATGAAAGGGGGTGTGGTCGCATGATGATGATTTGCGTCGGAAGGTTATTGCGTTCACTTCCGTTCAAAACTTCGTTTCGTCGTATAGATTTAATCAAGCTGCTTGCGGCTTCAGTTCAAGTTGAATGACTTTGAGAAACTTTGAACTCCAACTTCTGATTAATGGGGCGAGTCTTGATTAGGTATCCTAACGTTGTAACTCTTGTCAAAAGGCTATCAAGATCATTACAAACCAGTTTTTCGGAATCTTTCGTCAGGGGGATCATTAACAACTCGTTCCCAATGACACACCCACTTGATTATAGACGAGGCCATTCCGCGTTTCGGTCATTAGGCAATAAAGGATTCGGATTATTATATGGACACGAGAGATGTTTTCACGTTATCGGGTTATTATTTCTGGGGGTTTCCCCCTCTTCAAATTGTATCGGTGTTCTTCAGGGTGAAAATGTACCACGGATTTGCATATCATCATCATTCCATCGGATGCTTTGTGACAATCGTCGATAAATCATTAATACCTCGCCACTCTAAGAGTTCTTAATGAATATAGTCGTGAGATAAAGCGAGGATTATTTTATTCCTGCGGGCAGTCTGATTTTTCACGAAATATTTCAATTAGGGTAGTTTAGATCAGTGTTTCCCAACCCGAGGTCCGCGGGCCAACGCTGGTCTGGCGAAGTTTTTTTGCCGATCCACGGACATTTTTAGCGTAGTCTGTCAAACAAAACTCAGGATGAAGTCTGTATACTCTTCAACTAAAATTTAGGAAGGACAATGACAATCACAATCATCTGATGAAAATAAAAGTTGGGTTTTAATTATTTTAATAACATTTCAGATGCATTTTCACCAGCTGAAATAAATTATTATTATTTTTTCATTCTGAAAAAACTTTCTTCAAACCCACATTTCTAATTTGTCGATGATATTTAGCCATTGCTGCTTCATTGGCAATTAACTGAATTTTTGGAAGAAAAAAAAACTTTTTAATACCTGCCATAACGTCCTTCAAGCAAAACTTTTTAAAGTCTGAAAATTTTTTATGAAACTTTGTCAGTCTGCGGGAATTTGTTTGAGAATTTCTGGTTCAAACGAAAAAACTATGGCAGAATTTGCTGGTCTGCAAAAAATGTTATGGGGATTTGCTGGTCCATGAGACTAAAAAGGTTGAGGAACACTAGTTTAGATCTAGTGTTCATCAACCTTTTTTGGCTGCAGACCAGAAAATTCCCAAAACATTTTCTGCAGACTGGAAAAGTTTGATAAACATTTTACAGACTTGAAAAAATTTTGTTTGATGGACTTTATGGCAGGTATATACAAGTTTCTGCTGCTTCATGAAAAATTAAGGTAAGCACCTATGAAGCAGCTATAGCTGAACGTCATCCAAAACTTGGAAAGGTGGGCTTGAAGAAAGGTTTCTCAGAATGAAAAACTATAATAATTGTTTTCAGCAGGTAAAAATGTGCCTGAAGTTTTATTAGGGGGAAAGCCAACTTTTATTGTTTGTCAAATAATTTCAACTGCCATAGTCTTTTCAAAGTTTTAGATAATGATAATGGATTTAATTTCTACTTTTAATGCTGTAAATCTATTATGCTGAAAATTTCCCATGGACCAGCAAAAAACTTCTACAGACCGGCCCTGGTCTGCGGACCACGGGTTGGGGAACACTGGTTTAGATGATCAGATTATTCTGGAAGATTGCCTGAAATCCTTTTTGGCATCCAGATTTCAACAATTTCCATGAAATGCGAATGATAACCTCCTATTCGATTCAGAAAAATGTAATTCATTCCCTCCGAAGCGGATTTGGGTGAAATGTAAGCTAACAGAAATGCATTCACCATAATTTGTTTTTAGATTCTCTGCTTTGAGGATGAGTCCAACTGGTAAAACTATTTATTATTCCCAGAATTAAAAGAAATGCCGAACTTTATAGGTACTGTAATTCATAAAATTGCATACCAGTTTAAAGTACTCAAAGCAGTTATTCCTTTTTCATGCAAATTAAAAAAGTTGAACTTTCCAGAATTCATAGTTGAAATTTTCTTGGTAACTGTACTCAGGCAAATTTTCACCGGGAAGGTGTTTTCAAATAGTCATAGAAACCATGAAATAAATAAATATATATACTGTATATTCCTTACCATTTCAAGAAAATTTGTATTTATTTTTTATCTTGAGATCAGCTTGCTTGCTTTAAATTATATTCTTAACGTCTCATTGTTTCAAATCGTTCCCAAGTTTTTTCGTCCAATACATTCAAGAAACTCCTCCCATGAACCTTTTCTTGTGCTGGTGAGCCAATTTTTTATAGAATTTTTCAACACTTTCTTGCAGGTTTTTGACGGTACATGCTGCTGGAGTGAAAGATGAGGAGCTGAACTAAGAGCAATTTGTCAACAACCTTCGAGCGCTTTATTTATGTTTTTTTTAGTATAAAGGGTGGGACCATCTCTTGTGGAGTGAGTTCAGGAAATTTAATTAGCTGTCATCGGTATTTTTGTAGCTATATAGGTCAATCAGGCATCCGATAATTCATAGTGGACATGCGGAAGAAGCAGTTCTGTTTCCTTCTCCCCATCAAATGCAGAAGAAATGTAATACAGTACTGTGCATGCAATCAATAACTCAATCAAGTATAAAATAATCCGTTCAGCACTTGGCTCAATCTTCCGATCAATGCGTTTGATGATTACGATGAAAGTACAGTACTGTATGTCCATTGTGAACTGATCAGGTAAGACCATCGCAATGTTGTGCAGTACAGTACTTCTTCAGTTTATTAAATATTGTTATAAAAATCAGGTTAAAGGTTTTCTGTGAAAGGTATCACAAAACCTCTGCCAAAATGCATGCTCCTTCATCGTGCTCGAAACAGTCTCAATTTGTAATATAAAGCATTATTTCGGATCAAGTTTCGAACACTCACTTTCCTCTATTGAAGGTTTCGAAGCACTCTTTTTCCTTGAGCAAACCGACTTCTCGGTTGCAGGTTCGGACCAGGTTGTCGAAATAGTCGTCCACTGCCGTAGAATTGGCCACATCCATGACGTGAAACAGAGATTTTGATTTTAAATCAGAATTTATCTGAATTCAGGCACGATTCAGTACATCTGAATCTCTGAAAATTTCCGAACGGAGCATTCAAAGCGCAATAAAGATGAGCTGTGCTAAACTTGGAATAATAAGTTAAAGGAGAGAAATAAACGTTCGATTTTCTTGCTTTTAATAACTGATGAATCAGCAAAATGGGAAATCACTTACTTACAGCGTCCGAACAACGTGTTCCAAGCATTTTTAAGGCTCAAAATACAAAATTTGTATCCGTTTTTGCAACAACCGGCTTTGTTTATTTCGAAGTTTCATTGAAGGAAAGATAATGGTGCCTGAGTTAAGATCTATCTATAGTTATACTTCTCGTGGATTTAGTCATCTTCTGAAAATTCCATCAATGCGCTCATGGAAAACGTATACCTGAAGTGCATCGAACCCTCTACTGGTTCTTACGACGAACAGATATTTTCACTTCGGAAAATGCCAACTTGCAGAATACATTGATAAACTGAGATCACATTGTACTGATGTATATACACGCAAACTATCCGGAATTTCCATTAGCAATCGAACAAAACGCTATCCTCTGAAGTGTGCCAGACTACTTTCTGAAGATTTTCATGTCCAATAGATTTGTTAAGTAGGACGAAGGCGAACTCGTATATGGATCCATAAATGCCCATGCATAGAATCTGAAAATTATAGTGTAAATTCATTTATAAGCTGTCCTAAAGTCCATTATTGGACTGTTTAATTATTCTTCAAACGAACTGCAGATATTGGGTGAAAGCAAACTTGTAGAGCTTTAGGATAATTTGGTACTGGTGAACTTACACCAAAATTATATGAATACGGTCACAAAGTTTTCCGCCGAAAATTGTGAACAAAAATCCATAAAAAGAAAGCTGCCTGGATTGATGAATTGATTTGTCAGACGTTGAGGCCTTATTATTCCAGTGATTCAATGAACAGATTTTTTTTTTTACATTCGATGATGACAAGCTTAATTTTTGGCAATTGACGCGCGTCGAAATATCAATATCTTACGATATTCAGAGTGTTCTTCATCCGAAATTTTCATCAGAATCCACTCATAGAAAGCTATATACTGTACATGCTGAGGTGCTCTGAAGATTCTTATGCATCGGACAGATTTGTTCATTCCTGGGGGGGGGGGGGGACCCAAGGATACTTTTTTAAACTGGG